TTGCTGCTGCTTCTTCTAGATACTGCTTTCCTCACTTCTCCCGCAAATCAAGAAACAGATAGTTCTAGTTTTCAAGATTTTGAAAAACAAGGCATTAAAAAATATCAAAATTTTGGAAGAAAAATGAAAGAAAGGATTTTTTTTAATCTTTTATTAATTTTTGTAAGCAAATCTGGCTTCTCATGGGATGTCTGGTAATGTTTCCTTTTGTGGCTTCATTTGTCTTTGTCTAGTATGAGGGTACGTTAAAATTCAAATCTTTTTCTCAAATTCCACCGCCACCCCCTTTCATCGGGCTCCAATTTGGCTTTGCCTTCTTGGACCATTTTGCCCTTTCGAGATGACTGGATTACGGGACTGAAAGTTGACAGTTAAAAATAGAATAAATGTGTGTTTGGTAATGGAGTGCATGTGTTTTTATAAAAAAATTTTTGAACTGAAAAAAATATCACATTGATAATTTTTATGCCGTTGAAAAAAAAATTATATAAGTATATAGTATGTACATGTATATATATGAGAAATTTGGAACATAGGTGACAAAAATTTCAAAACGAAGCTCTTTTTAGAACGTTTATTAGCTCCGAGGCTTAATGACCAAAATAAGTTTAATTTTTTTAATAACAAAATATATAGTATTAAGTAATAATATTATGCTCGAGTGTTGTGATATTAAAATATACTATTCAAACACATAAAATGAGCAAACTTTTTAATTAAATAAAAAGGGTTTAATTCTAGCTCTTGAACTTACAAACTTATATTTGGATTTTATTTCCACAAAATTCATGAAAAAAAAAAAAAACTCAGCCAAGTAGGTTTAAGGCATTTTATAGTTCATTTTGACAAAAATTTGTGCAGCAACTACTACTTTTTTATTTAGATTGATTATTTACAACGGCTACTTCCATGTTAAATGAAAAAAAAAATAAGCAAAAAAAAAATCAGCCAAGCATATATAGGCAAAACGAACCAACCTATCAGTCTCCAATCACAATTTTTTCACTGCTCCAACAAATACAATTGGAACAAGAAAAATAATAAAAAAAAGTATCTTACATTCATTCATAAGACTATAGTGAGTTAGACTTTCAAACATCACTCTTATTAGTAAATGAATTTAACATGCATTGTCTATTTTTGAAAAAATATTTAGTGTTTTTTTATTGTAAAATATAAAAAGAAAAGTATTGGAATACACCTCTTTACAACAAATGAATTGCTCTTGACTTTGAAAAACGAAGGGTTGTAAATTTTTTTATCTCGACTAGCAAAAATATTGTTTGTAGGTCCGAAGATTCTGATTGAAGCTTTGGAACTAGACAAAGACCAAGATGGTCGAACTAGGATAAACTACTGTCATAATATATTTACCTGCCCTTATATGTTGGGAGCATTCTCTTACATATCATTATAAGTATTTTTCACTGTCATATGCCCTTTTTCCATCTTTTTGGGGGAAAAAAAGTGGCCCTTGGACGAAACATAAAGAAAATAAATTTTCATTTTTTTAAGACTTAAAAAACTGGAAACCCCAATAAAATTTAAATTAATGCAAAAAAAAGAAAAATAAAATCGAGGAACATACAAAAAACATATATAATAAAAACATTAGAAGCTAATGTAATTTTTTTTAAAACAACTCGTGTCTTGAAAAAAACTATTTTATCTCCATAAACATATTTATAATTATGAGGCTCTATGCACACACACATGTATATATATTTCAAAGTTAGCTCTAATTTTATTTTTTCTTGGGTTTTCAATTTTTCAACTTTTTTTAAAATGTTTTTATGGTTTATGTAATTTTTCCATAGCTTTTTAAGTTTTTTTTTTAAACAATGATATTAATTTTTATTTTCTTGGTTTCTTTTTTTTTTTAAATAAAATATATATTGGTGATGGTAGGGAATTGCTCATATAAAAAATAACAAAAGGATATTGGGAGAAAATGTTGATATATAAAGTCACATGAGAGTGAAAAAATATTAAAAAAACATATGGGAGAATGCACTTGATATGCAAGGATAGATGGATTAACTAACCCTAAATTTATGTTCGATTTCTCTTTCTCTACCTCTTTACTTTATTATGTTAACAATTTTTGTTGCAAATTCATACATCTATATGAATTATTATTGCATGTTTTTATATTAGGTACTGAGTATTCAATTTTTAGTGAAATTTATTTTGATTTTAACGGAAATATTCCAACAATTAAAACCATGAAATTTTACTATAAAACTTAAATATGTTAAAAAAATCCCAAAGAAAGTGAGTTGGGGATCTAGAGTTGAAGAAGAGTACTCTTCAGTTGTAATCTAGACTAAATTTTCTTTTAAGATGATCTCAAAAAAGAGTTAATGGTTGATGGAGTTTATTTACATTTTTTTTTTTTCATATTGATCATGTCTCTCCATTCTTTTTCGTATCAAGTTCGTCCCTCTACATTTGGTATCTATCCAATCTCACCCCTCCATTAACTTTCTATTTTCTTTTCATATTAATTTTTTTTTTACAAAAATAAATAAATAAATATCCAGTCATTCCCTCTGAAAAAAAAAGTGAATATGAAAATATTATTTTTTATCTAAAATATTTTTTTATTGTTTTAAATTTATCTCTATGATAGTAAGTAATTTCTGAATATAAAATAAAATATTTATAATATATATTTTTTAAATGCGAAAAGATTTTTAGTTAAATTTTTAAACTTTTGAATGGTATTTATACTCTTATAATACCTAAAAAGAGTCTATTATAATTTACTTATTTTTATTTATAAAATTCTTAAATTGACAAAAAAATAGGGATACAAATTTTTGTGGCTTCTTAATAGAGCCATTTGTTGAGATGGAAAAAAAAAAACAAAATTTGTAACTGAATTTATACTCCTAAAAAATTTTAACAAAAAATTCATAGTCTATGCCAACTTCTTTTAAACCCATAAATGATATTTTGGATTAAAAAAATTCTATTTTTATTATTTTTCAGTTTTTAGAGAAAATGATTGAATATATCTTCTTCTTTTTTTTTCAAAATTCATTTATGTAAATTTGAAAAAAAAAATATAGAAGGACGAGATCAATACAAAAAAAGAAAAAAAAACTAGTCAACACATGTAACAATCTTGCGAGGCTAACCATACAATTTAACGTTTTAGGAAAAAAGTTAACAGAACGATGAACTTTTTTTTTATAAAAAAATAGCAAACGGATGAATTGAAGATTAAAAAAAAGACATCATCAAGTCGGAAAAAAAAAACTCCCACGATCATTAAACCATCTTAAAAACGCATCCCTTGTATTGATATGATGCAACCAAAGAAACAAAATATTTTTTCCTAAATGTTGGCATAAAAGTTCACAATCATGAAGTTAAATAAGAGATCATACCTTCTTAACTATTAAGACAATCTCTTAAAATTAAAATTCTCAATCAATACCATCAAAATTTTGGTGAGAGTTTGAAAATACTAATGCTTCAAACATTGGTTAATATCGATGGTTATCTAGGCATTAAACCCGGATAAAACAACAAATCCAATGCCCTAATGACCATTGGCATTTGTGTCGATACAAAAATGTCAATATTGTAACAATTAATTTTTTAAAAAAGAGGAAGATCATGTTGACTGCCAATTTTTTTTATTTGATTGTGAAGGTATTTTTAAATTAATTTATGTATCAATAAAAATTAAGTCTATCTCTGAGTGATTTTAAAAGAATAAATATTACAGGATGCTATCTCAAAATTTGAACTTAAAAAATCAAGGGAAAAAAAACCAAAATCTCCTTAACTACCCGGATAATCCTTTATTATTACGTTGATTGTGAAACGACATTGGAGGTTAAAATCATATTGAATTGCGTGCCCTCAGCTGGTTAATCACTTCATCCCGTCGGTAAAGATACGAGACACGAGAAGGGATGGATGAGGTGTTGATTGTCTTGACGAGGTTAGTTTCGTCATTCAGCTCAGAATTCCATTTTTCAGCTATTACTTTTGGGCACCAAAAGTTTTAAATGTTCCCGCTATTCCTTTCATCTAAACCTCCCTACAATTGGTTGTCCAAAAGAGCACACAAAGGAGAGTCAAACCTAGTGAAATAACCACAATGCCCCTCTGATCGGGCCTTTAGCCTGCGGAACCAAGCACGAGTCTTGCAGTTTGGTCTATGTATCAAGGATTTAATTCCTTACATTCGATTTCCAAGAAGGTAGCATTTACTGCTTTTATTTCGCACCACGTCCAAAATTATGCAATTTACAGGACACATCCCTCTAAATTGATCTTACTCGGGAGGGAGCGATTAGCTTGATTGGTCTGCCTGATGAGATTTTTGGTCAGAAATCCATGTACACTGATTTGTTTCAACAAAAGATTGTGCCAAAGAAAGTGACCAGTGGTCCAAGTTTCTTGGATGCCAATTGGGATAGTCAGAAACAGATAACAAGCAGATCGCGATAATGACGATTACAAAGGAATCTAGTGACCTCACATCCTTGCCCCATCATGACTCGCAGAGGTAACGCTGCAAACCGAGATGCAAGACAGATGAAAAATGTATGAACTTTGTCTTCAAAGTTTCATACCACCGTTTGTCCATCCAAATTTATCTAACTGACAATTCTAGTTTCCCGCCAGATGTAACACGTACTTGTAAGGTCAAAAACGTTTCTAGAAAAGTATATATGTATCCTTCCTCGGTACAACTACCTTGAATGATAGACCCATTTTGTGAAACCAAAGCCAGAAGAAAACATTGCTTTTGCCTTCTGCTAAGGCCCATGGGATTTAGGGCATTTGTTTATTTATTTTGGTTTTACCGTTAAGATATTTTCGGATTAGCTGGGTACCGAAAATAACTCTCCCCCAATCAAAGGATTCGGAGTGTTGAAATTGGAGGGAGAAAAAAAAAAACAACAATGGGAAGTAGGGTTTGAAACTAAGAAAGATAGTCCCCCACTCTAGAATAATAGAGTGCTACTTAGTCAAACTCAGCCACAGGACTTTGCGCTTACTGAGATAGCTTCGGCTGTGGATGTAAGAATAGATGGAAATATACGCATAATGAATTTTACTGTGGTCTGGATGAGGATATGTAAACATCTGTTTCTATTCCTGTTCCTGGAAAGAAGGGAGGACTGGTGGGGAGGATTGGTGTTGGGGCCGGAGAGGGGGCTGGGGACATAATATAATATAAGAACTAAAGAGAACCCAACTTTGTAACAAAACACGGCTCTATTTGACCAGATTGCAGTTGCAATGCTTTTTTGCAAGCAAAAATTGATGACACAAGAAAGAACCTACAATTATAAATACATTCTACCATTGAAATTGGGGTAGATTCCTGCAGGTTGGACAATACCACTTTCCCTTGAATCTTGTCTCTGGTGTCAGCCCAACACATGAATAATGGAACCATTCACCTCCTTGGCACTGTAAACAAGCAAACAAGTGAGTGAGTATTTGCACAAGTGTTCTCGACATAACTGACACATACAAAATAGTAACAACTAAATATTAAAATATTCTGCTGAAATCAAAATGATGAAAGATTAAAGATAAGATGATATTTTGGGATTCTAAATTCTCATTATTTTTTTCCATATCAATTTATCATGTGAACTCCATAAATATTCTCTTGAAATTTTATCAAAATATTCACAAAAATTTAACTTGTTATGACTAAAACTCATGTTGTGTGCAAATTATGAAACAATGGACGGGGAACCAAAGTGATGAACTTCAATCAAGAAGACAAGCACCGACGTGCATAGAGCAAAGGAGAAAGTACTTACATTCTCATTATCACAAGCAATCATATCTCCAAAGGACACCTAAATGACCACAACCATCACAGAAGTTTAGTGATGTACAAGAGTTTTTATTGTGTACTTCAAGCAATGTAAAACAACTCTGCAGAAGAAAGAGCTGAATTTGAAACTGAAATAGCATTAAACAAAAAGTCAAACCTGATGGCAGACACAGTAGGTAGGTTCATTGGGATCAATGGGTTGCTCAACTTCAACAGGAATAGTGAAATCCTTTTTATGGCTTCCTGGAGGAGGCATGAGCTCAAAATCCCTATCACGTTCTCTGTCCCAATCCCGATCCCTGAAATCAATCCTCTTTGGTTGAGGTGTCCCATAAAAGTGCTTGCGTTTCTCAATTTTAGGAACTATTATAGGCAGTGGAGGAAGAATTGCTGGCTCTTCCGGTGATAGTTTTCCCTCTAAATGCACGACAAAAGATTAACAAAAATTCAAATTAAGCCACTAAATAGAGTCTGTCTAGGATTAGGAGTTGCAAGAGATAAAGATAAAGTAGAATGATCAGCAATCCATTTATTGTACCTTGCTTCAAATCTTCTGCAAAGTTGTTCAGATCCTCATCAAGTCGTTTTATATGGCTGTCTATCTGTATGCAGATACAAGCACAAGGAATCCAGTATATCAGAAAGAGTCTATCATAGCTTCTAATAACAACAGGACAAAAAAAGACTTACGTATCCAACAAAAAAAATAAAAACAGAATGACAGGGAGAGAGAATGAAACGTCACATGCCTGAAGCTTAATGCTTAGAATGAGAAGAATCATAAGTTATTATCCTCAAATCAGCCCAAACTTAAAGCTAGATTATTGGGGTCTCAGAGGCTAGCTAAAATGAGCAGCTAGAAGAAACCCGAGTGAGTTCAACAGGAATACTCTATGCTGTGAAAGGCACAACCGCTAGATGGCTTCGCTTTTATCAAGATGAAATCCCTAACAAATGTGGAAATCACTATGTGCTCAGTAAATGTCCTCAGTGAAAGAGAAACCTCCAATGGTGCATGTGAGCAGTCTAGAAAGAAGAATAATAACCGTGTGTAGAAGCAACATTGGCTACTGATTCTGAAGTTGGTTAAGATGGCTAATAAATTTTGCCATAAAATTACAGACAAATGATTTAAGGAAATTGCAATACAAGACAGTCTCATCAAACAATCCCTCGTTCTGCTGCATGCGTCAAGCAGAGCTAAAACATTACCTCCAAAAATCAGGGAAGGAAGGACGGGAGGGAGTCTAGCGTGCCCAAAATCCCAAATCCTAACCAAAATTTCAATTATTTCCAATTTTACACTTTTCTACAAGGACCATTTTTTAGTGTGTCAAACCTTCACAAAAAGATAAATATTTTACCATGTAACTGTCTTCGGGACCAAGAAAAAAGAGAATTTCAAAAGAAAAGGACAGAAAAATACCATCGCTAGATGGCTGCTTCCATATTTGTCATACTAGGCAAAATTGGCTTAACATGGAGCCAACCAGCTGTCAGTTTCGTAGTCAAGCAGTTCACTGGTGTTAATGCAGTTTATAAGCTTCTTTAGGCTGTAACGGACTGCTGCAGTACTCTCTCATCAAGCTCAATTACAAATCAATTAGTTACAAGTGGCTTGACAGCTTGGGAAGCCCAGGATCAGAAGTTCCCAGCTCAGGTATCCCAATAAAAATGACAATTTAGCTTATTTGAATGATCCTTTTCCACAATCATCCCTCAACAGATTAAGGAAACAAGAGAAAAAGATGACCAGATACCATTCCACTCGGCTATCTAACTTGACATTTTGAGTTTCCATTACAAAGAGAATTCTTAATTAAGATCCTAACCTATCATGGACTGCATCATTGATCAGATCTTTTACATGCTATACTTTCTATTTAACCAAATAAAAGCCAATTACTGCTGCTTTAGATCTTTGACCCACTAACTAGTCAATTCAGAAATCATTTCCAGTTTATCTTGAATTTTGAAGTCTAACCATTCTTGGTTGACCACAAATTTATGATCTGGAATTGGCCATTAGAAGTGCGCCAAACTCCAGTTTCGCTATAAACAAAAAGTGTAATACAAAAATCCTTCACCATGATCACACCATGATCATATCATCCTGGTGAAGATATGCCAAAGATGCTAAAATTTAGCTCAATGCTGGGAAGACTCCAATATCTTCTGTGATCAAAGCTCAGGTTGACAACATTGGAATCTCATTCATGTTCTCATGTATATATCCCCTTTTTTCTATGAATGCGATTTTATGAACTTCTGTATGATAATTTAGGGAGATAAACTATATTAGTTGCATGGCAATTGCATTCCATCTCCTAACACTCAATGCTCTTAGCTTCCTTTTCCAGTTTGAGTTAAGCTAGAGTTAAGATGCTATCTGTGAACAGGGTATAACTAATGCAACATGACTTAATGACCAACAAATAGCTATAACATAGAACTTACTAAACAAGCCCAAGGAAACAGAAAAATCAGTGGACTTCAGCACAGACTTTGATTTTAAGCCTTGTACGTCTTGTTTGTCCCTATTGGCAAAAACAGTCTCATCCTGATACACAGCTTACACTACCCAGTGCATTTGAGTGTTGGGAAATAAGATGCCTATGATGCTTTATCATCGTAACTTATTCACTAAAGATTTCTATCTTTGGAAAATGAAAAGTGGACATGACTGCGTGCTCAACTAGGGACTTTACCGAATACCAAGGACTTGACATATTTTAATGCTGAACGCACCAATCACATGGTAGATATTTTTACGTAACAATGCCCAAAAAGAAAATGGTCATTGGAGTGGAAGTCATTACATGATATTCTCCATAAACATAATCAGAGAAACCTACGGCAGAATTTTATCATCCAGTCAAAGAACTACTTTATAGGTATTCAAAAAGCTTTCTCCACATCTTGGAACACAAAGCACTTCAAAATACAAAATAATCACTAAGAACCATAACACAACCTTGGACACAATAATGCCCCTTATATTTTATTATTTAAGAAACAAGTACCCCATTTTCACTGTACATGCTACATCATAGCCCAACAAACTCTTAATAAATCAATTTGCTCCATATAATATCAATTTAAGATGTTGCAAGAAACAATTTATTATATAGACCTTGGCTTAAAAGGAACTCACAAGATCATAAGCTTGTCGTGCCAACAAAACCTTCTCTGTACATAAAATCAAGGCATTATCCTGATTTGCTTCGATATCCTTCCTCATTTTCTCGACTGTGTCATCTTCTTCAATATTATTAGTGTTGTAGCAATTATAAATACTACCATTCCCTTTTCTTGAGCTTTGAGATGCCAATCCTAGACAGTAGTTTGTCTGTTGCCTTGTTTGGTTTATCATCGCTTTCACCCATAAAAAACCAACAAATCAAAAAATTAACCGTGCACATTCATCTACTTACGTATGTTGGCTATATGCAGGCTCAAATCCAGAAAAATATCAAAGTTTCTCGCTATACAAGAACAGGTAACATACACATATGCACAACCAAGCAAAGAATTCACATATTTATAACATCATAACAATCGAAATTTCGTTTTTTCCACCTACTGAAAAAAAAAATAAAAAAATTACAGCTTATTTACATGAATACCTACCTACATGCATGAAAATGTGCAATAATTAAGCAATAAACTTAAAAGAGAAAAAAAATCAAAACTTTCACAACTTTATATATCCTCACATTTATATATATGCAGAAAATTTCAAAAATTATATAACCACACATACACAAGCATACACAAATACATGCATACGTATATGAGGACGGCGATTTGCTCACATTGGGATCGATCGTCAAGCTCTCTAATAGTATTAAGAAGTCGTTGAAGCTCAGCTGGTAATGTGTTTGCATCTGTTGAAATTCAATATATATATATATATATATATATATATATATATATATATATATAAAGAAAGTTTGGAAATTTATTAAAAACTGATCAGATTGAATTTCAAGAAAAAAATTGGAAAATTAAGGGACTGTAGAGGAACTTACACTCGAGGTAATCGTCAACGAAGACTCCGGTTCGTGCAATTGCCATTTATGGAGATCAGGGATTAGGTTTTCTGAAATTCTAGGGTTTTTCAGATTTCTGATTTGTATTTTGTTTTAACGAGGGAGGAAGGAAGGAAGTTGGAAACGGTGTCGTGTTTGTGATTGTTTTGTAATTAGAGGAATTTTTTGTTTTTAAAGTAATAAAAATCGGAGTAAAATTATAAATTAATCCCTATAGTTTTTAAAATAAACTAAATAGTTTCTATAATTTCAATAGCTAATTAGTTAGTTCCTATATTTTTAAATCAGTTTGTAGCTTAATCATTTTTATTATTATTTTTAAATTTAATTTTATTTTTTAATAGAAATAAATAAGTAAAAAAATGAAAAGATTGATAAAAAAATTATTTGAAATAAAATAGTATAGAATTAACTATTTGTCAAAGAAATCAGTTTTTAAAATAAGAAAAGTTATTTTATTCTTTCAAAACCTAGAGGGACTAATTTATAATTTACTCTTAAACTATTATTTTATTCTCTCAGTAGAAAAGGGGGTGCAATGGGATCCCTTCATTCTTTATAAATTATTTTATTTAGATGAGTCATCTTTTTTAAAAAATATTATTTAAAGCTCAAGAATTATATATCATGCAATCCTTCTGCGGTTCTCCTCTTAGTCTACTTTCCATGATTACCACACAACTCAACACTATCAATCTAACATCTCAAAAAGACATGAAATTTAGAATTCCATTGGATTGATTGATACTCACTCAAATCCACCAAGAATCCATGATTCTTAATCAGATCTCCCTTCGTTGGCCCCTCCCAAAATCCTTCCTTTCTTACTTCCCGCGCAAATTCAGCCCCACTATCTCTCTTAAACCCTCGCAAAACTCCCAAAAGGTAATACACCTTTTATCATTACAATCATTATGGTCAACTTTAGCCAAGAGACGTTCAAAATCATGTCTGCAACTTCTTATTTTATCGAAATTTAAGTAGAAGGGGACAGTTTAGTATTAAAAATATAGGCTTAACATGCGAAAGTTCTGCTTTTTTTTAAAAAAATAATAATTATTTATTGAATTTGTATCTTTTTGGCAGTGTTTTAGCAGGAATCTAAGTCGACCAAAGCTAGCATGTTACGCATTTGATGAATTTCCCAACCAAGAAAATGAAGAGAATTTAAGAGGGATTGAGTTTCTGCAGTTGATGGAACACCGTGGGATTCGCGGGAATTGTCAAACATATCTCTGGCTTTTGGACTTTTGTTTGAATTCTGGCTCTTTGGTAGACTGCAAGAAGCTTCATGGGAAGATTTTGAAAGCGGGTTTTGATAAAGAAAGTGTTTTGTGTAATAAGTTTGTTGATGTTTATTGTGCATTAGGTGATTCGGATGGTGCAGTTAAGGTTTTTGAGGATATGCCTAATAAAAGTGTGCATACCTGGAATAAGATAATTTCCAGTTTTGTGGCAAAGAAAATGAGCAGTAGAGTGTTGGATCTATTTTTGGACATGGTTGAGGAAAATGTAAGTCCAACTGAGATTACTTTTGCAAGTGTTTTAAGGGCTTTTTCTGGTCATGCTGTTGCCTTTTGCTATGTAGAACAGATTCATGCTAAGATTATTTGCCATAGTTTTATTTCCAGTCCAATTATTTGCAATCTTTTGATTGATTTGTATGCTAAAAATGGGCTTGTAGTATCTGCCAAAAAGATATTTGATAATCTATGCATGAAGGATAGTGTTTCTTGGGTGGCTATGATCTCTGGGTTTGCACGGAATGAATATGAAGAAGAGGCCATTCGTCTATTTTGTGAAATGCATATATCAGGAGTTTTTCCTACTCCTTACGTGTTTTCGAGTGTTTTAAGTGGCTGCACAAAAGCAAAGTTATTTGATGTTGGGGAGCAACTTCATGCCCTAGTTTTCAAGTATGGATCCTCTATGGAAACTTATGTCTGCAATGCTCTTGTCACATTGTATTCCCGAATGGCAAACTTTGTATCTGCTGAAAAAGTTTTCTGCAAAATGCAGTGTAAGGACGAAGTTTCATATAACTCGCTGATCTCTGGCCTAGCTCAGCAGGGATTTAGTGATAGTGCTTTGAAATTGTTTGAGAAAATGCAACTAGATTACTTGAAACCAGATTGTGTTACTGTTGCAAGTCTCTTGAGTGCCTGTGCGTCTATTGGGCCCCTTTGTATGGGAGAACAGCTTCATTCATATGTGACAAAAGCAGGAATGTCCTCAGACATTATTGTTGAAGGTGCTCTGCTTGATCTTTATGTGAACTGCTCTGATATAAAAACTGCCCATGAAATTTTTCTCACCACACAGACAGAAAATGTGGTCTTGTGGAATGTGATGCTTATGGCTTATGGGAAGTTAGATAATTTAATCGAGTCATTTCGGATATTTAGACAAATGAAGATTGAAGGTTTAATACCTAATCAATTCACCTACCCTAGTATTTTGAGAACTTGCACCTCAGTGGGTGCTCTTGATCTAGGAGAGCAGATCCATACTCAAGTCATAAAGACTGGCTTTCAGTTTAACGTGTATGTTTGTAGTGTGCTCATAGATATGTACGCTAAGCATGGAAAACTAGATGCTGCCCAAGTAATTCTTAGAAGACTCAATAACGAAGATGTTGTGTCATGGACAGCTCTGATCACAGGGTACGCACAGCATGATTTGTTTGCTGAAGCTCTTAAACATTTTGAAGAAATGCTTCACCGTGGGATCCAGTCAGATAACATAGGTTTCTCAAGTGCAATCAGTGCATGTGCAGGTATTCAAGCTCTAAATCAAGGACGGCAAATTCATGCACAATCATATGTTTCTGGTTATTCAGAAGATCTTTCAATTGGTAATGCACTTGTTAGTCTTTATGCAAGATCTGGTAGAATCGAAGAAGCATACCTGGCATTTGAGAAAATAGATGCCAAAGATAGTATATCATGGAATGGATTGATATCAGGTTTTGCACAGAGTGGATACTGTGAGGAGGCACTGAAGGTCTTTGCTCAAATGAATAGAGCTAAACTAGAAGCTAGTTTTTTCACATTTGGCTCGGCAGTGAGTGCTGCTGCTAATATTGCAAACATAAAACAAGGGAAGCAGATCCATGCGATGATTATAAAAAGAGGGTTTGATTCAGAAATTGAAGTTTCCAATGCTTTAATCACATTGTATGCAAAGTGTGGTAGCGTTGATGATGCCAAGAGGGAGTTTCTTGAGATTTCAGAGAAAAATGATGTTTCTTGGAATGCCATGATCACGGGCTATTCTCAACATGGATGTGGTAATGAAGCAGTAGATCTTTTTGAGCAGATGAAACAGGTTGGTGAGATGCCAAACCACATCACCTTTGTGGGAGTTTTATCAGCCTGTAGCCATGTGGGGCTGGTTAATGAGGGTCTTGGCTACTTTGAGTCTATGAGCAAAGAGCATGGCTTAGTGCCTAAGCCTGAGCACTATGCGTGTGTTGTGGATCTGCTCAGCCGGGCTGGTTTTTTGATTCGTGCAAGAAAGTTTGTAGAGGAGATGCCAATTGAACCAGATGCAATGATTTGGAGGACACTTTTGAGTGCTTGTACATTTCATAAGAATGTGGAAGTTGGAGAGTTTGCAGCTCGGCATCTTATGGAATTGGAACCTGAAGATTCAGCAACTTACGTCCTTTTGTCAAATATGTATGCTGTGGCTGGGAAATGGGATTGCAGGGACCAGACCAGGCAAATGATGAAAGATAGGGGTGTAAAGAAAGAGCCTGGTCGTAGCTGGATAGAGGTTAAAAATTCAGTTCATGCATTCTATGTTGGGGATCGACTCCATCCACTAGCAGATAAAATATATGAATTCTTGTCTGAACTAAACAAGCGAGCAGCTGAGATTGGTTATGTCCAAGATCGATATAGCCTTTTGAATGAGGTAGAGCAGGAGCAGAAGGACCCAACTGTATGCATTCACAGTGAGAAACTGGCTATTACTTTTGGGCTCCTTAGTTTGTCTGATTCAGTTCCGATACACGTAATGAAGAATCTTCGTGTATGTAAAGATTGCCACTCATGGATTAAATTTGTATCAAAGATTTCAAATCGAGCAATTGTAGTGCGAGATGCATCCCGCTTTCATCATTTTGAAGGTGGTATTTGTTCATGTAGAGATTATTGGTAATCAAAAACATTATGAAGATTATTGGCAAGCAGCACGAACTAATGGGAATTCACAACAGCTTGTAACATCACCTGTCGTGTTCTTGAAGTGTGGTGTGAGGTAAACTTCATCCTTTATTTGCCCACCTACCACGCAATTTTCTTGAGAAATCTTTTGGGAAACTTCACTTAAAGATGCAATAATGCAGGTCAATAAAAATAATATAGCTTCTAAATATAGATGACTTCTATTTTATTTTATGCGGAGCATATTTTCAATTTATTGTGAAGCTTTTTGTTTCACGTGGAAGTTCTGTTAATAATATAAATAATGGCTCCAAAACAAATGACAGTTGTCAATTTCTGACCTGAGCATTCATCTGAATTGGCTGGGTTCTATCTTTTTTTCAGAGACATACTTACTGGGCATTAGATAATAGATTTTAGTAATTTTTCTCTAAAAGTTTCTTCATGTTTTACTTCCACTATCTTCACCTGTTTTCAGTACAAGGCTCTATATATGCAAATATGCTGATAGAATTTCAACATGCTGGAAAAACTTGACAAACCTGTGTTTTTCCGACTATCAATTTTGTCTTTCTTTGCAGCAGCATGATTTATGTTTAAATCCCATTCTAACGAACATTGCTGTTGATTCTTTTTAGTCTTTGCTATTTGGGAATGAAAGATCCACTCTCTGACGCTGGTCCAAAGTGGAAATTCCCAAGACAGTCATGACCAGGGAATCGGAAGCTGGTAATTTTAGTGCCTTCTCATCAAGTTATTTCTTCTTTCCAATATTTCATGCATAGTAATCGCTAATTTTTTAATCTGAATGACATTTACGCTTCTGTCCTCATGACTACATCCAGAAGCAGTAAATTAGAGCCTTGTCATCAAGTTGTTGCTTCTTTCCAATCTTTCCTGCAACTATATATGCAAATATGCTGATAGAATTTCAACATGCTGGAAAAACTTGACAAACCTGTGTTTTTCCGATTATCAATTTTGTCTTTCTTTGCAGCAGCATGATTTATGTTTAAATCCCATTCTAACGAACATTGCTGTTGATTCTTTTTAGTCTTTGCTATTTGGGAATGAAAGATCCACTCTCTGACGCTGGTCCAAAGTGGCAATTCCCAAGACAGTCATGACCAGGGAATCGGAAGCTGGTAATTTTAGTGCCTTTTCATCAAGTTATTTCTTCTTTCCAATATTTCATGCATGGTAATCGCTAATTTTTTAATCTGAATGACATTTATGCTTCTGTCCTCATGACTACATCCAGAAGCAGTAATTTAGAGCCTTGTCATTAAGTTGTTGCTTCTTTCCAATCTTTCCTGCAAAGTAATAGCTGATCTTTAAATCCGATTGAAATTTTAGGTTACTGTCCTCATAATGACAGCCAGAAGAAGTGAATTTTATTATTTGTTATTTATTGTGAGGGTAGAAACTAAAAAGAAATCCATCAATAGCAATGCTGGTTTGTCACAGTAGAGTCATTGTTTTTATGTTACATAATCTGTGTTACAATTGATTACTGGCATGCCAATTTGGATCCCAAAACAACGTAAATGGCTAAATTTGAATATTAACTTATGATTTACATGAATCAGATATGGTTAATTTTGATCTGTTATGGCCGATATAAGTATATTTCTGCATTTTTTTTATTTGAATATTTAATTGCGATCTTTCATCTTTATGAATTGATCTGCTTTGGTGCTTATATGCGTATTCGTGTGTGTGCCAACTTCAAAATAACGAGTACTTTTCTTTTGGCTTGGTGCAATTTATTCCCACATGCTCCAGATGCAACAGGGTGTACTGTCCTGAGGAAAAGTTTCTGATCTCAGTCATTCCATCATTTTCTTTTGCAAGGTGGAAAATTAACAGGTTCATTTTATGGGCCATTTTTTTTTTAAAAAAAAACTGCAGTTTCTGTCTTGTCTACTTGCTGAAAGTTTTGAATACTTGTGATAATTTAGTAGGAGATACCCATTTTTCTCCTAAGTTATCTATGATGATTTGTATTTCTCAGCTCTGGATATTAGTGCTGTTAAGATTTTACATTGATATGAAGAACTTGGTGGCATTGCTGATGCTAACTCCTAAAGGACTCAGATAATTGTTCACCCTTTCTAATTTGGAGCTCGGATCATAAGGTTTCTGAATCTTTCTTTTCCTGAAGAATGTCATTCTACTTCTATCTGCCATCTCCTTGTGTAATTTGTTGTACGTAGGTAGAACACACTGAGTTAAATGGTTTAAGAAGCGAACTTTACATGTTAAACCTCTTGATTCGGTGCTCATATCTGCAATGAGTCCATCGTTTGTGACTTTCTCACCTTATAGCAAGAAGCCAAGAACCTATCATGCATTCTGTCTCTCTCAAATAATAAGTGTTCAATAACGAAGAATGAGATTTAGATGGAAAAAGAATACTCATGGTAACCGGTGTCAATTATTTTTTCAGCTTTATCATAATATTAAGCAGTCACAGATTTTGCCACATGTGCTTGTTGTTCGCGATACATACATACATGTATATGCATATGTATTTCAGGACGAAAATAGAGATCAAACCATTTTGTTTGTTGATAAATCAGAGTTGCTTGGTCATGAAAGGAAGAGAAACAACAAGCATCTTAAGCACTTTTCTGTGGCCTTGCTTTTGCAAGCAGGCAAGTTGTTCTAATTCAGTTAGTACCTGTCGGATTCATTTTGTAGTAGAAATATTTAATACCATAAACCTTTTTATTCCTCCCTTCCTGCTTTGTCCTTCTACTCTTTGATGACAATTGCATCATTGACTACGTATATTGATAATCTAGTTTCATTTCTTTATCTTTCCTTTCCCTTTATAGTTTTTTTTTCCCTTGGTTTGCAGTATATAGGGCATTTTTAAGTAAGGCTGTGGTGAATCTGATGATGCATGAATGATCTAATTGGTTACGTGTTTTTGTTTTGTTTACTCATTTCTGCCATTCAAATATATCTGACTTTCTATAGAATATGCAACTAAGAGTTTGTTCAAACATGGCTGCTGACTGGCATTAATTTTTTATCAGGTGCAGAGACCCAGTTGCCCCCGCTTCAGCCATGTTTTGAATTAGAATCTAAAGGAGACTTCTGGCATCTTGACACCTTTAGCTATGGAAAAATGAATCTTTGCAGGGAGATATTATTTTATTATTTGAAGCACACAATATTTTAAGCCCCCGAGGTCATATCTGAAGAGTCCCCTTGCAATCTTCAGCTAGTAAAAAGCAGCAATCCAATTGTTTCTAAGCACCAAACTACCAAACCGCTTTTCTTTTCTCTGAACACACCAAATCTTCATCATGGCCGGTGAAATTACCAAGGATGTGGTATCCTCTTCCCTTTCCCTTGATGGCCGGGTAGCAATAGTAACTGGTGCTTCACGTGGCATTGGCCGGTCCATTTCCATCCACCTTCACTCCCTTGGTGCAAGATTTGTCATCAACTATGCTTCAAACTCCACTCAAGCTGATCTCCTAGCTTCTGAGCTCAATGCCTCAGCTCCCACTTCACATCCTCAAGCAATTGCTATCAAAGCTGACGTTTCCGACCCGGATCAAGTCAAGCAACTTTTTGACAGAGCTGAAGAAGAATTTGGCTCAAAGATTCATATCCTTGTACATTGTGCTGGTGTGCTCGATCCAAAATATCCCACCTTGGCTAATACAACAGTGGAGGATTGGGATATGACCTTTAATGTCAACACTAAAGGAGCATTCCTGTGTTGTCGAGAGGCAACTAATCGGTTGGCTCCTGGGGGTGGTGGAAGAATCATTATGATATCAACATCTCTTGTCGGAGCACTTGCACCAGGTTATGCAGCCTACACTACTTCCAAGGCAGCTGTGGAGACAATGACAAAGATAGTGGCCAAGGAGCTGAAGGGTACACAAATAACTGCTAATTGTGTTGCTCCAGGGCCTGTGGCAACAGAATTGTTTTTTGCAGGTAAAACTGAGGAAACAATCAAGAGAATTGCGGATGCTAACCCCCTGGGCCGACTTGGTGAACCCAAGGATATAAGTCAGGTTGTAGGATTCATAGCTAGTGATGCTGGGGAGTGGATCAATGGCCAAGTTATTAGAGCTAATGGTGGATTTTTCGTTTAATTGAGCTTGAGTGTCCATCTTATTTTCCTTTTCCTCCTTGTTCTACCTCTTCCATCATCTGCAAGTTTTTCGTCATTTTATTAATAGATGCACGCTAATAATATTAGAAGCTTAAATTAAAGGTCCTTCATCCTTGCAATTGATGGCTAAAGGCCTGAAACCTGCATGTCTGTAAAGTGTGGGAAAATTCATCTTCACTTGTTCCTATGAATAATCGTCCTACCAATGATTAAAACAATTAAAATCAACAATAATTGGCACAATATAAACCTGCATTAGAGCTAATCATCCTCGTCAACTCAATAAAGTAACATGGACCCAGAAAAAAAAAAAAAAAGAACTCAGTGAATGAAGTAATAAAATTTTCTAGATGTATCTACTCAACATAACACATATAACATTTTCTTATATCGTCCAATAGGGAGGAATTTAGTCTCTGTTAATACACAAGTTATTTCAAAAATACTTTTTATCGTCGAATAAAATGTTTAGTCTTGGTTAATACATGACTAAAAGAACCCGTAAGCAGATCACCCATTGACAATATCCCCACCTTCTTTCATGAACAAAATGTATAAATAAGATATTGTATTAAACAGATGTATGTATTGATGATACAACTCCCTTCTTTCATGTGTTTCAGAGAATGCCTGTACCAATTTCAAACAAAATGAAGTTCATTCATTACTGTTCTTTGATTAATTACATATGGTACTTCTGGGAAAATGATTTCTGAAATATTCTTATCTTTCTATATTGGGATCCATTGTTTCTTTTTGTTTTTCTATCCACTCTTGGATCACTGGAGCTTTTCCAGTTCTTTTACTTTTTTTTCTCTTACAAACTACATAATAGGTAGAGTAAATTATTAACTAGTCCCTGTTTTTTAGAAAAATATTTGGTTAGCTCCTTTGGCTTACAAATACTAATATAGCATCCCTATGTTTTTTTATTTCCACTAATAATTTAGTAAATTTGCCTCTAATTTGGTTATTGCCTCTTCCAAAAATTCCATTTTGACTATATATTAATTGAAAAATGCCTAGTTATAGTTCGGTAATTTTCTAAAAAACTACAGGATTAATTGACTATATATTAATTCAAAAGTTAGAATTGACTTCCTATAACTTTGGCAACTTAAAATTAGGTCCTTATGTCAGATTTTATAGGATTCCATTCATTATTTAACATATTTTTGCACGTGAAAGTCACCTGACTTATGCATAAATTGATATCAAATTTTGATTTATTGACTTATTTTTAAATCTTTAGATGAATCTGACTTTTGAGCCAAAAATAATAAAAAATATATTTAAAAAGTGATAAAAAAATATCCACAAATCTAAAAAAATAAAATAAAAAGAATTTGACTTTTGAGCAGAAAAAATAAAAATAACAAAAAAATTTCCATAGAAATTAGAAAAGAAAATTGGATCTTAGATTTTTTCATATGAACAAATACCTATTTTTTTGGACTTTTTAAATTAAAACATTTCGAAAGAATTTATTATCGATGTGCTAATATTTTGTTTTTGTTTCTATATATATATATATATATATTTGTGCTCAAAAGTCAAATTCATCTCAGGGTTAAAAAATAAATGAATAAATCAAGGGTTGGATCAAGTTGTGCACAAAATCACGTGATTTTTTTACGTGTAAAGTCCAGTAATTAATGGATGAACGCTACAAAATCTGGCAAAAAGAATTCAATTTCAAATGTATCGAAGTTGAAGGAAGTAAATTCTTTCTTTCTTTTTTTTTTTTTGAGGACAAGTGGGCAAATGACTTAAGTTCAATAAAAATTGGCCTCATAGTTTTAAATAATTAACTAATTGTTATTTAACAAAATCGACTAAGGTTATTATTATTTTTCTCCATTATACATGAGATAATTCTTTCATATAAGGAATAACAATAAAAACATTATATACCAATAACAATCGTTATTATTATTTTTTAGTAAATAACTATCTAAATAACGGTTATTATATTATTATTAAATAAAAAATAAATTTATTAATAATTATTAATTTATTTATATTGTAATAATTGTTATATTACTATCGCTTTAAATTACTTTAGAGGGCTAGAATAATAAAAAAATTTATAATGTTCAAAAAATAACCATTATATATATATAATACATATAAAATACTTATTTCATAGATACATTTTGAAAAAAAAAAGATAAAAATATATATATAAAATATTATATCTGAAATCATTAAAATAAAAAAAATTTTACGTTGATTCAATTTTTTTTTAATTTTCTCTTTCCTCTGTGTGTGTATATATATATATATATATTTTTTTCGACCTCTTTATAACTATGCTAGAAGCTCCTCACTATGTTTGACCCATTTACCCAAAAAAAATCTTGCTACTTGAAAGTTTAAACAACTCTTCTGCTTCTCCAGCAACAGCATGTCCACCACAACCTGTTCCGCCCCAACAGTCCCACCGTCTCTCGCCCTCCAAGACCGTGTAGCCATAGTCACAGGCTCATCCCGTGGCATTGGCAAAGCCATAGCCATCCATTTGGCGTCACTGGGTGCAAAACTTGTTATTAATTACACTTCCAACAAGGAACAGGCTGATCTTGTAGCAAATGAAATCAATTCTTCCTGTGTTGACAATACCCAACGAGCCATAGTAGCTCAAGCTAATGTTTCCGATCCAGCCCATGTCAAGTTTCTCTTTGATGAGGCTGAAAGAGTCTTTGGTTCTCAACTTCATGTCTTGGTTAACTGTGCTGGTGTTTCGGATCCTAAATATCCTTCCATTCCCAACACTTCCTTGGAGGATTTCGATCATATTTTCAGGTATTTCTATAAACTAACAAAGAGATCTTTTTAGTTTATTTATTTATTTGCTTTTACTTTTTGTCAATAGTGAATTTGTTGTGGGATAACTTGGTAAAACAAAAATGTAAATTTTGATATGCTGTAGGAAAATTACTGAAATAAATTATTAGTTGATGACTGAATCAGATCCTGGATGAAGTTTGGCTTCTGAGAATAGTTCTTTTAAGAAATGATTCTATGAGAACTATCTTTTCATGTTTCAAGTAGTTATAGCGGTAAAATTAGCCGAGAATATTAATTTTTCATCAATTAGAAAACAAACAAAATGTTGCATTTGATAATTTAATAACAAAGACGTAATGCCTAAATTGTCAGCTTGAGCTGGGAGGACAAAAACATTGATGGGAAATTCTGGGCATATGCAAAGGCTGCTCCTTTTCTTTTCTTTTCTTTATTTTTTTTTTCGGGTTCAATTTGGAAAGGGTGCTTGAAACCAGATCTTTAAAGGTGTATTTAGTTTTAATTGGACATTTTAGTCAAAAATTGATAACCTAATGTTATCTGAATAACTTGGCATAGGAGAGAGTGCTTGAATTTTTATAGTGAAGTTGGATCTGGGGACCTATAAAGAGTTGTTTTTTCAAGGCATAGAATTTGCAACAAAATCCAACTCAGACTAATGCTATAATGCCCACAAGCTCCTGTTTGTATCTCATTTCAAAGCAACATGATTTATGACTTAACTTTTAAAATGTTGTCAATGTCGTCATTGTCAGTGTCAACACTAGAGGCACATTTTTGTGCTGCAAGGAAGCAGCGAACCGGCTGAAACGTGGTGGTGGTGGTCGAATAATATCATTATCATCATCTATGGTGGGTGGATTGAGGCCTGGATATGGGGCATATGCAGCATCAAAGGCAGCGGTGGAGACAATGATAAGGATACTGGCAAAGGAATTGAAGGGAACTGGGATTACTGCAAATTGTGTCGCACCGGGGCCTATTGCAACAGAGATGTATTTTGCTGGAAAAACTGAGGAGATGATAAAGAAGAACATAGAGGAGTCCCCACTAGGGCGGCTTGGTGAAACGAAGGATGTTGCGCAGGTTGTTGGGTTTATGGCTACTGATGCTAGTGAGTGGATAAATGGGCAGGTAATTCGGGCCAATGGTGGTTATGTATAGGACTCGAAAAATGCATCCTACGAGATTTTGAAAGAATAATGCTTTACATTTATGTCAACCAGCTTGAATTGTATGCTACGCACAAATTCAGACAAGTATCAAAATGCTTATTGTTTTCATAAGCAACTTTATAATGAATGGTAAAGGATTGCATTTACATCTTTCAAGGCATCTCAAGTATTTGTTAATTTACCTTGAATAAACCAGTTCCACCGGTATGCGTGTCCTGTATAGAATTCAAAACAGGAAGATAGGTTCAGATTTGCACGTAACCATCATTGGATGCATTTGCTTACCAGAATCAAGCTAGCCCATTGAATGGGTTCTATATTTGTGAAACTAAATGGAAGAATTTCTGTCTCCTCATACAAAATGTGAGCGTGTAATGCATGCTATAGGTAACGTATTTTTGAAAGTTTCTACAAGATGGCAAATTGGATTACAATTTACTATGTTTGAATGTTTCTTCAGGATTTGAGGTTGATAACTTAGACCAGTATTTGTAGCCATCCTTACTGAGACAAACAGGGACAATGCATTTATGAGTGAACATAAAATCTTCTTCGGCAATGATTTATGCATCTTCTATTCGAAATTCTCTACTAACATCAAACACATCATACTGGGTACATGGCAATGGCATCGTTTTTGTGCAACATTCAGAAGGCAAAAAAGGCATTCCTTTTGTTCATATCAAACTTCAAAATTTCTAAACAAGCTGTATTACATTACAAAATGTATCTTGTGTGTTCTCACAATTGTCCTCTTTCTTGGTTCTTTATTTCACAACCATGTTGAAGTTGAACATTCCAGTCCAGAGTTCCACTTATTCAGATGCCATTGCCATGAACGCGGACGGGAACAGCTGCTCCATTTTCTGGAATTAATTAACCTGACAAGCCCACCAAGAAGAGATGGATGTTTGCATAAGAGATGGTGGGGTAGAAGAGGGACTGCATCTGCATGTGAAGAAAAGAAGAAAGAGATTCCTGTATAAAAAATTAAAAAAAATAATAAGAATAAAAAAATGCAGCAGCCACAAGAAAGGAAAAAAGGCCAAGAGTCAAGCAATATAATTTTGAAAAAAAAAAAAGCTAAAGCCGCCACAACATAGGGAAATAAGTGCAAGAAAGAAGCAGGCAGTAGCCAAGATAGAAAAAGATGTTGAAGAAATTATTTAGGAAGTAAAATGGCAGCAGCCATGTGTTTGGAGGGGGAAAAAAAGATTGCAGGCCAACTTAGTATTTATTTATAGAACAATATGGTAGTTTTATTTGTCAGAATATAGTAGTTTCAATAGAAATTAAAATCGTTGAATAGCCTCTTTTTTTTCTTTTTGTGTTACATGTAAACATTAAATTGATTGGGATTTACCATTTAAAAACAAAAGATTATGAGATGTTATTGATTAGTGAGATCCATCAATAGACCAGCCATTAATTTCACAATCTAGTAATAATTTATGTTAAGGTCCGTTTGTTTGTTGGAAAACGAATTCTTTTTTAAAAGTGAATTTCAAGAAAAATAATTTTTCTTTGGTATCTAAAAATGGAATTTGTATAATTTAATATATATTTTTATTTTATAATATAGCATGTTGTTTATTATAATGTATTTTTTTACAATATTATATAAATTTAAACATTATATGAACTAATATATTGAATTAATATAACTTTTATATATAATATATTGATATAATATTGTATATACTAGAAATTCATTATTTTTTTAATATATTATTGTTGATATATATAGGAATAATGAATTGTCATGCCATTTTAGTTTTCTTAGTCATTCATGGAAAGTGTTTTCTGGTTTCGGAAAACATTTGTATCTCTCTCTTCCTCTCTCTCGCTCTCTGTTTTTTTTTTCCTCTCCTAAATAGCCAAAAATAATAAGGGAAATTTCTAGAATTATAAGGCAAGATAAGAAGCGAGGACAGAGGATCTCCGGTCTAACCCGAACGCCAAACGTCATTCATCGCCCCCTTTGATCTCCTTTTCTTACACATAAGCAAAGTACTTCTCTCGTCTCTCCTATAAGTACCCATTCGCTCCCAACAAGCTCTCTCTATCACAATCACAAATTGAAATTGGATTTCTCTTGTCTCGGACTCTTGAAAACAGAGAATGGGGATCCCATCTGAGCTAAGGCATTATTGGACACAAACAACAACAAACAATCAAAATCTTAATCACAGTGATCATAACATTAATGATAGCAATAGAAGATCTTTCTTGGTTGCTTCTCCAGCTGAAGAACAGAAGATTTTGCAAGCTAGACGTTGTACTCAAGGTTCTTATTATTCTTAACTTTCCCTTTTCAATTCTTTTCTTTTTTGCTGTGTGTTTTATATTATTATTTTTTGGATCAATCTGTTAGCACCTTTGCATAAAGTACCCTTCTTTTCTGTTTTTGTTAAATTTTGGAATCATCAATTCACTGACCCATTCAACAAAATTGATAAAGTTTGTGTTTTTCTTATGATTATGGATCAAATTAAAGCATAAAGAGCCCATTTTTTCTTTTTTGTTAAATTTTGAAAACATTTATTCAATGACCCAGTTTACAGAAGATGATATTTTACTGTTTTTTCTGGGTAATTTTTTTTTGCAGAGGGTGTACGTGCAGGAGCCAAAGCAGCTGTTATTACCTGTGTTGTCACTGCAGTGCCTACAGTATGTTATGATTTTATAATCTCTTTGCTATTTCAATTTTTTTCATTACATTGTAAGTCTGGGAGCCAATGATTGTGTAATTGCCGAAGCGCTAATGTATTTTGTCAGTGATTATGATCTGTGTTAATTGGTTTAGAAGCTTCGTTTGCTGCCTTTAAGCATGATTTTTAACCATATGAGATTATCTCATCGTAATGGGGAAATATTGCTACCAACAAAGGTTTACTTGGCTTATTTGCTTTTCAAGTGAATTTAGCGGCGAAAGGTTTATGAAAAGTTCTTTTGATGCTAGATTGTTAAGTGACTATTGGTAAATAGATGAGCAAATTTTGACGGTAAAGATTGCTATTGGGCTCAAAAAAATACGGCGTTGCTCTGGAATCAAATTTAATCAGAGGGGCTAATGGTTTGTCACAAATTGGAACTTCTTAACACTTTGATGGTCTGCATACAATGACATTAATTGTACCTTTTAAACTATTCATGTCGTATAGTGGCCTGGGATCTGTAGAAAATAACAAAGTTGCCTGGCCTATTTTGAGGATATTGTCTAGGAAAGAAACTCAGCTTCAACCTGTGATGGATGATCCAACCCCTGGTATAAAAGGAAATCAAACTTCATAGTAGAATAAAGAATGATGCTGGTGATGGATAGTCTGTTGTTGCCAAGATTTATAACCATTTGGAGATAGGCTTTCATGGAGTTTGAGTTTCCCAGTTTCAGTGAGTCCCTTCATCAGTTCTGTAATTTTATAGAAAGTAATGGCAAAAACTTGTTCATTTGGCTTCAAACTAGCTGACCAATGATTTATAAGGGATCATGGACTTCAATTGAAAACTCTCTTCTGTCATCTTTTTCTAAGCCTCTTTCAATTATTGCATCAACCTGACAATTGAGGAAACTGTTTATTTGTACTTTTTGATCAATAAGTTGTGGATAACTCGTTGTTAAGTAAAGCATAGGGGAAAAAAAGGCTCAATCCTATGCGTTAAATGTTTGTCTATGCTTCCATTATTGGGATCAAGAAAAAGAACAGTGATATATTTTTCTGTTCTCAATCAACATGGAAATAGGTGCATTTGTATTTGTCATTGAAGTCTCCTATTCACCATTATACCTTTGGTGCCTATTTAAACTTGATATATTCTTCTTGCTACTTAAAAATGGCTGAGAATGGTTTATCATTATTCTTTTATATTTTTTTTCCAAACCCCCAGCTTCTTGCTGTTCGCGTGATTCCTTGGGCAAAGGCTAACCTCAACTACACTGCTCAGGCACTTATTATATCTGGTGGTATGATATCAATATCATTATAAGTCTTTTGTAATCTGCGTTTGTTTTCCGTGTTTCGCATATGTAAAGTTATTTTTTCTTTTCCTTTTTTACTTTTTTACTTTTGTCCTTTTTTTTGTTGTGTTCGAGGAAGCTTTTATTTAGAGCAGAGAATTGCAATCATTTTCCTTGCACGCGCCATTATAAATGAGAGTACCAACTAGCAGTATATGGGAAATTTGATGTCTTGCTTTTTATATGTTTTCAACAGCATCAATTTCTGCTTACTTCATCACTGTTGACAAAACTATCTTGGAGTGTGCAAGAAGAAATGCCAATTATGATAAAAGAGATTGAGATGATGCTATCAAGTGCAATTTTGTGTTGGAATAATCTCTACAATACCAAAAACATATTGCTGTCTGTTGCTAGTGGTGTTGCATTTCGACAGTGAGACCATTATCGGGCAGTGATATTCTATTTTAGCTCTATCTCACCAAGCAAAGATGAGATGTAAGTGAACTAGTTAGCATGTTTCAGTTGGGGTTTCTAATGCGACGATGTTGCTGTAAGTCTGTAAGAATCGCATGAAGTTTGATGCCAGTTCTTCGTTATTAGGTGGTGGCACTTGTTTATAGTGCTTTCTTGTAACCTTTTTCATTTGTTTTTGTTGAAATAAAATGTGATAGTGAAGTTTCTGCTGGAATTTGATTCGATTGCCAAATAGAACAAGGAAAATGGGAGCAATTAGTGGGCACTCATCCATTAATTTTGACGTTTTGTTGGAAGGACCACTTAATTTTCAAATCTGATGGTTGAAAGTTGGAATTATAACAGTTTTTATTTATCAACCACAGGTGCTAGAGCTTTCCACTTGGATTGTCAAAAAACAAAAAAAAAAGTTGCCATTCAAGATAAAAGACAATGACATCCTGGATGATGTCATCAAGATTTTGATTAGTGAGAGGGAATTATCCATATATTCATCAACTAACGTGCTGGAATCTCCAATGTGATTTTTCATGGGTGTAAGCAAAACATGCTAGACCTGTGAAAAACAGTTTCAACTCTTCATTGGCACAATGGCTGCGACTAACACAACAACTACATCTCTTCCACTGCGAGACCGAGTAGCCATAGTCACAGGGTCTTCCCGTGGCATAGGCAAAGCCATAGCCATCCACCTAGCCTCACTAGGAGCAAAACTTGTCATCAATTACACTTCTAACAAGGAGCAAGCTGATGTTGTAGCTAACGAGATCAATTCTGGCTGTGTTGATGGTAGCCCACGAGCTATCGTGGTTCCAGCTGATGTATCTGAGCCTGCGCAGGTTGAGTTACTATTTGATGAGGCTGAAAGAGTTTTTGGATCCCAGGTGCATGTCTTGGTTAATTCAGCTGCCATAACTGATTCCAAGTACCATACCATTGAAAACACTTCTGTGGAGGATTTTGATCGTATTTTCAGGTACTTTAATAGTTACTTCTGTTAATTGAACTTGTTTAGTGAATTTGATACGTTTTGTAATTCAGCTTGCGTGCTTTTGTTTCAGTGTGAACTGCAGAGGGACATTCTTATGTTGCAAAGAGGCAGCCAACCGGGTAAAGCAGGGAGGTGGGGGCAGAATCATAACGCTATCAAGCTCATTGGTGCGTGCATTGAAGCCGAACATGGCAACATACACAGCATCAAAGGCAGCAGTCGAGACGATGACAAAAATAGTTGCGAAGGAGCTCAAAGGGACTGGTATCACTGCAAACTGTGTGGCACCAGGACCAATTGCAACAGACATGTTCCTCACTGGGATCACTGAGGAACGTATCAAGACAGTGATTGAGGAGTGCCCACATGGGAGGCTTGGTCAGACCAAGGATGTGGTTCCTATTGTTGGGTTCTTGGCTAGCGATGCTAGTGAGTGGATCAATGGGCAGGTTATTGGCGTTAATGGTGGCATTGTCTAGGCCTTTTTGGCATATGCAGTGTATCTTTTTGAAAATAATGTATAATATGTCAAGTACATAAATAAAAATTGTGGAACAACGCAGTGAGATGATGATCATGTTTCATGTTTTTAAGGTTTGAAAGTGGATATATATTGGATTAAAACAATGTTTATCCACCTTCGAAACCCCAGCCAGTGATGCATTTCACAAGTCAGTCCCCAGCCTTTGGAATTTTGCTAAAAGCAGCTCAATCTATTAAGGTTTTAACAGGTAGGTCCTCAATGTTTGATTCCATTTAAAGCCAATTAAATTAAATGCAAGAAGCAAAATCGAATCAGGTATTGTTTTAATCCAATTACCATTTTCCCTCTGATTTTACCAGTATTGTTTTAAGCCTAATAAAATGAATCATTTGAGATGGAAAATTGCAATACACGAAGCAGCAAGAGGTAGCTTGATCCATAACTCATAAACAAAACTTTTATAGTTAAAAATAGATACAAGAGGTTTGACTTGAACAGTGAAAGCAACAAGTTACTCCCTTGCAATCTCCGGCTATTATAAAGCAACAATCCAATTGTTTCTAAGCTCCAAACTACCAAACCGTTTTTCTTTTCTCTGAACACACCAAATCTTCATCATGGCCGGTGAAATTACCAAGGATTTGGTATCCTTTTCCCTTACCCTGGATGGCCAGGTAGCAATAGTAACTAGTGCTTCACGTGGCAATGGCCAGGCCATTTCCATCCACCTTCACTCCCTTGGTGCAAGAGTTGTCATCAATTGTGCTTCAAATTAACTCCATTTAAGCTGATCTCCTAGCTTCTTAGCTCAATGCCTCAGCTCCCACTTCACATCCTCAAGCAATTGCTATCAAAGCTAACGTTTTCGACCCAAATCAAGCGAAGCAACTTTTTGACAGAGCTAGCTGAAGAATAATTTGGCTCAAAGATTCATATCCTTGTACATTGTGCTGGTGTGCTCGATCCAAAGTATCCCACCTTGACTAATACAACAGTGGAGGATTGGAATATGACCTTTAATGTCAATACTAAAGGAGTGTTGCTGTATTGTCGAGAGGAAACTAATCGGTTGGCTCGTGCATAGGGGTGGTGGAAGAATCATTATGATATCAACATCTCTTGTTGGAGCACTCGCACCAGGTTAACCAGATATGACCAATCAAGGTATCCTATAAGTAATGTTTATAGATTATTACTAAAGACACGATTTGGTTAATATTAATTTCCTCAGTGACTATAGAAAATATATCATGCATTTTAATTTATCATATATAGCACTGCACTCAAGTTGGAGACTTATGGGTTAAGAAACAATTACTTATAATAAATAAGAGAATTAGAGAAAGAAACTATATTTTTTGAAATAATATGCATGTGTTTACATAAGAGAGAGTGAATTTTAGTTTTTAAAAAGAAAATAAAAAATCAAAACAAGGATCCAATTGTGAACAAGCTAGGAGGTGGATGGATTGAATTGAATGATATAGAAAATACAAGGACCTTAAATAATGTAAAGGTTCTTCTTCTAACAATTTATGAGAAATATTTGTCGAAATAAATTACGCTTTATTATTATTTTTCCCCATTTAAATTTCTCTTAAAAGAGTTATTTTTAATTTAATCCAACATATTTTTCTCAAAAAAATTATAATTTTTTTAAGAAAAAGTCGGATCAAAATTCTCTTATGACTTGTACTCTTCAAAACTAAACCAAGTTAACTATTACTGGTTGGCCAACACTTTTTTGTGTGTTTAAAATAGATGTTTAACTACTTTTCATTAATGATTTTTTAATAATAATAATAAAATTAGAAAATTTATTTTCATTAATGATGATGGTTGATAGTGTTAATATTTATGATAATGGTTACGATAACGTTAGAAATGATGATAGTCGTTGTAGAATAATGACTGTTGTGATAATAGTGATAGTGACAATAATAAAAAAATGATGGTCATAATGGTGATTGCCACCAAAGTGACAATGACAATTAGTGATGATGATCATTGTTTTGGTTGTGATGGTTTTACAATAACTATGAGAATGATGGAAATGATCATGAACTAGTGGTTAATTAATTGATAACCAAATGATATTGATGGTGAGGTGGTGGTGCTGGTGGTATTGAAAGGTTATGGAAGAATAATGATTAATTACATTGGTAAAAAAATAGTTTTTGCATATATAAAATAGGTGGTAATGGCTAACAATGATGAGGTGATAGTGGTTATAATGACGATGAAATGATAGTGTTAGTAATTGTTTTCAAAGTAATGAAGTTATGATGTTGGTGAATATTGTGAGTTGGTAGTATCAAAAAATATATTTCCTTCAAATTGGAATTATTTAGAATATAATTGGAAAATATATTTTTTTGACTTACTTTTTAACATTTGTTTTGTACTTGAAAATGAGAGAATTTTTTTTGGTTAAACTCATTATTTGCACTTTGTATTTTCATAAATCCATAAAAAAAGTCCATATGTTTTCAATTTAGTCAATTAAAGACGTGATTTTCAATTTCAACAATTTGAGTACTATTTTGCAAAATTGATAATTTTTATAGGTTAGATCGAATAAAAATATAATATAAACATATATAAGTACTTCAAGTGAGTCCCTTTCTATATTTTTATATTATTATTTTTTATTTGATTTAACGTATGCAAAATATTAATTTTGTAAAATTGCAGTCAATTAGCTAAAATTAAAAATGTATGTATTTAATTTATTGAATTAAAAAAATAAAAGTTTATTTAATATACTTATAAAATACAAAATACAGACAGTGGGTTTAACCAAACAATTTCCTAAAAAAAATATTTTTTGCAAAACAAACATACCATGATACCTTCTAATTTTTCTACCACATTAAACAACACTAAAGTTTTATTATCTTTTTTTCCCCCAACACTTTCCTCACATTAAACAACACCTTAATAAAAATTTCCTACAACATTAAACATACCACAATACCTTCAAAACCAAATCGCACTTTTCATCATTTGTTAGGTGTCAAGGTAATTTATGCTTATAGGGTCGATTAAATATTAAGCAATGTACAATTTTATTAAGGTGTAATTGATTACCCCTGCTCTAACCAACTTTACCCACGAAGACTAACATACTATCGTTTTCAACTTCTCGTTATGTTATTTTATTCACAAGTTATAGTATATACATCACTAATAATTAATTTGAAATGATTATTAACTTCATTTCAAAATTATTGGTTTTGTTAGATAAATTATTTTATTTATTAGTATTTTTATGGAACTTATTTATTAATACAATTTTTTTTTTGTTACAATGATTATTAATACGTAATTTTGTCAAGCAATGTATCGTGTAACTTTATATATGTAATGTAGGTTTTATTAATCAGCATAATCTACTACATTTAACTAGTTGAAATGTATATGAATATATCGTGCTTTTTTCCATTTTTATTTATTAATATTTAAGTCTATTTGGTTCATCACTTAATTTCTTGATTTTCATACGTAATTTATCATTCCTGTCACTTAATTTTTCAACTTCATTACTCAATTTATTAATAATTAATCCAATTCGAAAATAGTGATAAAGTTATATTGCATAATTTATTAGAATTGCATGTTAGGAATAAATTGCCCTTTAATTGTATTGTTTTTACTAAAAATGCTCTTAAAAGAGAAAAATGTTATGTTATTTTTAATTTAATAGATTTTTTTTAAAAAAAAGGGAGAGAGTCTAATTTGATCAATAAATAGTCGAATCAATTGAAAGCCCCTTGTGACTTGATTCTCCAAAACAAAAGCAAGTTAATTATAAATTGAAATGCAAATTAAATATTAGCAACACTTACCTCTGATGGGATTATTTTATACCTATTATTGATTCAACCACCAACATTAATTTTTTTTTTAAGCCTGTTTCATACCTTTCAAGGGGCATTTAGTTATCGAAATGAAAAATCCGAAACGAAAATACAGAAATCAAAATGAAAATTAAAGAATCAAAATGACATATGCATTTCTATATTGTGTTTATAATACCAATATGAAATCGAAATGAAATTTAAATTTTTTAATATTTATTTTTTTATATAAATAAAAATAACAATTACAAAAATAATTTTATTAAACCATAATGGTTATAAAAATAATAAAAATGATTATGGTGGTAGTTATGGTGATTGTATTATTATTATTTTTTTAAATTCAAGATTAGAGAGGTTAAAAATATTTTTTAAAATATACTTAACAGCGAGAATACTAAAATACTAAAATGATGTTGTTTTGACATTTCAAATAACGGTCAATTCAATTGACCGTCATATATAATGATAATTAAAGAAATTAGATCAATTTTGCTAAAAAGTTTTAGGTTCAAATTTAACAATTTAGTACTAAATACTTAAAATTACCAAATCACAATAGAATATAAGCAAAATTTACCATTAAATCCACAAGAAACTGTGACACCAGGGCCTATTGCGAGAGACGTTCTTCACTGGGACTGATGAGGAGCATTTGAAGAGCGAATGAGGATTGCCCACATGGAAGGATTGGTCAGACCAAGGATGAGGTTACCCTTGTTGGGTTCTTGGCTTGCGATGCCAGTGAGAGGATCAATGGGCAGGTTATTGGCGTTAATGGTGGCATTGTCCAGACCTTTTGGCTCAACATACATCAACATCAATATCCTCTGAACTACTGTAACTGTCTTTTCTGTATTGGAATACTCTTTTACAGTAACGTTAACTCACCCTTTACAAGTCTATTTTCTTTTTTGGAAAAAGAAAAATGCAGTCACAGAAAAATACTGAAAAATTCTCCTTCTCCTCTAGTACACAACAATATGGTTCAAGAGGATCAGTAATTTACAAATTGATCATGCATCTTTTCTCAAAACATCTCGGAACTACAAGAGAATTCAACCAGGAAAAGTTTCATAACAAAAAATAAACTAGGGAAAGAAAATACCATCTTGATCGGCTACGTTGGAGTACACCTCCTAATTCTTAAACATAGCCACCATTAACACGGATGACTTGTCCATTAATCCATTCAGCAGCATCACTAGCCAAGAAGCCAACAAGAGGAACAACATCCTTGGTTTCACCGAGCCTCCCATGAGGACACCGCTCAATCACTCTGTTCACGTCCTCCTCACTCCTCCCACTGAAAAACATTTCAGTTGCAATTGGCCCTGGTGCCACACAATTTGCAGTAATACCAGTCCCTTTGAGCTCCTTTGCTAGTATTTTTGTCATCGTCTCCACCGCCGCTTTCGATGCCGTGTATGTTGCTGTATTTGGCCTCAACGCACCTACCGATGAGCTTGATAACAATATGATTCTACCCCCACCACCTCGTATTATTCTCTTTGCTGCCTCTTTGCAGCATAAGAATGTGCCTCTACAATTGACACTGAAACAAAAACATATAAATTATTAGCCAATTTGTGCCTCTTACTTCATCAAGGAAAGAATAAAGAAGTGGAAAACACCCATTTTATTAGCCAATTAAACCAGAAAAAGTGATTACCTGAAAATGCGATCAAAATCCTCAACGGAAGTGTTGGCAATTGTAGGGTACTTCGTATCAGTAATGGCAGCTGAATTGACCAAGACATGAATCTGCAATCCAAACACTCTTTCAGCCTCATCAAACAATAACTTAACCTGGGTAGGCTCAGAAATATCAGCTTGGACCACTATAGCTTGTGGGGTTTTTTCAAGTACACGGCAAGAATTGATCTCATCAGCTACAAGATCAGCTTGGTCCTTACTAGAAGTGTAATTGATGACAAGTTTTGCACCTAATGAGGCCAAGTGGATGGCTATGGCTTTACCGATGCCTCTGGATGAGCCTGTGACTATGGCTACCCGGTCCTGCAGTGGGAGAGATATCGATGGTGGGTTTACCAGGCTGGTTGTGGCCATTTGTTGGACGGACAGGATCGGCGAAGAACTTAAACGTTATTATTTATTTTGTTACTGAAAGAGTTTTGATGAAATGAACAGCAATTATATTTATATCCCATCCCTAGCTTCTTTCCAAGCCTTGATGGCGTCATGGATCATGTCAACAGAGGGCAGTGGAAAGTGCCAAATCTACAGACCAGAATTCCGTTTTTAACGTTTCAATTAACCGAATTAATAAAAAGAAAAATTAATTAAATTCGAACATAATTACTTTTTTTTTTTTTGGCTTTTTGGAACGTTTCTCGAGTTCGGTGAAAATTAACATATGTTTTCCATTTTTTTAATTTTTAAAATAATCTAAATAGATAAAAAAATTATAATGAATTATAAAGTTTTTTTTTAAGCTCAAAGAGTTTAAATTAACTCTAATAAATATTTGTTTAAATAAAAATAAATTACAAAATATCACCGCATAGTAAAATATTAAAATTTAAATTAAAGATTCACTGATCCATATATATATAAAATCATAAATTGTTGGTAAATTGAACAGGTAATTTTCAAATAAACTAAGGTTAGACAAGTTGATAAATGAATATTGTTTTTCCCGCAATTATCTAGGAAGAGCATTGTGAAAAAAACTATTTTTTTTTCACATATCCACTAATATGGGTATGCTAGCATGAATAGCATATACTTATGGGGCAATCGGAGGCTGAATTGAATGTTCAAAAGCTGGTTTAGTAACTTAGGTGGTGTTTGATAAAGCCGAAAATTAAGTGCTCGAATATGTTAAGTACTCGAATTTTAAGTGTTGAATAATTAAGTACTGAATTTTAAGTTAACAAACTGTTTGGTATTTACCGAAAATTAAGTGCTGAATATAATAAGATTGTTTGATAACCACTCCTTACTCGAATATGCTAAAGTTATATATATGACAATTTTAACCTTGTAATTGTAACATTATATTTTTTAATACAAATAAAATATGTTTGTGTGTATAAATAAATAAATAAAAATGATTATTAATAAAAATAAAAAACGGTCTAAGATACCATAATTGTCGTATCATGTACAAAATAAATAAAATCTCAAAGACTATTCAATTCATTTGCAATTTGGTCTCGCAAATTAATCATAAATGTGTGATCGGCTCGTGCTTGTGCCCCTCCTCCGATCAATGGTAAATTTGCGGTAACATTTGACGTTTGATGCATCACATAATCACTATCAAATTGTTCAAAAAAGTCGTCGGTAACAATTGTTCTTCGAAGATAATTATGTATTGTAACACATGCAATAACAATATCTCTCCGAACTCGTAAATGGATATGGGGCCATTGTCTTTAGAATTGGAAACCTTGCTTTTAAAACACCAAATGCTCATTCAATAGCATTCCTCAATTTTGCATGTGCATGATTAAATGCTTCTTATTTTGATCTTGGATGATGACCATTACGAAAATCGGATAACCAATATCGCGTATTACGATATGGTGCCATAAACCCTCTAGTATGCGCATATGCGGCATCACAAAGATAATATTTATCTCGCCATCAAATATTGATCACTATTGCATGAAAAATATTAAAATTATTGACATAATACACTTATTAATAACGTGAAAAAAAAAACTTAAAGGGAATTTTTTATAAAAAAAGAATTTAATAAGAATGGAAACAACCTACCGGGTAGAAGGATGGGGAAATTATTTGATGAGTCACGCATAGTTTACGTTAATACTCTTAAATCATGTGTTACACCTTCCCATCCAGCCCAAACAAAAGTAAAAATCATATCAAAATCACATATTGCAAGAACATTTTGATAGCAATCTCCTCGTCCTCTCCCTCTATATGGGACTTGTTGATCGAGTGATATAACAACACGAATTAAAGTCCCATTAAGTGCACCTACAAGCACCCTATACATAAATAAAAAAAATTAGTTAGTTTTAAAATACACAAACCAATCAAATTAGAAACAAAAAGCTAATTGTATAACTCGAAATACTTGACGAAGTTGACGATGATGTTGAACTTGACTTAAATCTAGGTAAAATGTAGTAGGTACAATCATTTCTCTTGCAAACTTTAACATTGCTTGCAACACTTCATGCAAGTAGTGATGTACTCGTTTGAGTTGAATGATTAAATCTTCGTTTCACGACACGATTTCGAAAATTTTGACTTAAAGTTATCAAAAACATTGCCATTTTTTCTTAAACCTTAATATAACGACTATCTCTCAACCATCCTTTTTGTTTGAAGTAATCACATAAATTTGAGAATGCTTCTTTTTTCATTCTCAACATTTCTTGACAATGAGATGGATTTCCATGAAGGATCTCTAAGCATATATGCATGTCCTTCAAGAGTTGAATATGTATCCGGTCTTCTTCCAACACGTCTTCTATAAATCCTTTTCAGTATAAGAAGCAATATAATAATCCTTAAACTCATTTTTTGCCTATCCGTCAACATGCTCGTTAATTAAAAAAAAAACAAAAGCATGTATCAAAAAATTGATGAGAAATGTAATTAAAGGAAAAATATTTAAATTGGAGTACTTTTATTCAAACTATAATTCTTATGAAAATTCTAGACAATCCAAATAAAAAAAATTATTCTAAATACTAAGCACAAATCACAAGGAAAAATATTCAATTAAAATAATGCCAACTTTTTAGTAACCATTTTGATCCATCCAATTATGACTTCCTCTGGCTTTTGAGAAAGATTTAACCATTGCTCTCGATATGCTTTGCTTTCACAAAAGATAGTACATGCAGCTAGATATAAAGGGTCATCCATTCCTAAAGTCTCCATCTCATCTAACTTCTTATTGCATTGTTCTACACTAGGTCCATCGGACCCTTCCAGTGTCTTCGATCTGTCATTAATTGATCATCAATGTCATCATTTTTATTCTTCTTTCGACGTTTTTTAGGCTTTTTCATTTCATCATTTGGAGTTGAAGATGGAGCTGGAGAATTAGACTCCAAATCAATAAATTCTTCAAAATTTGTTTCAATTGGTTCAGTTGGCATAGAAGAACTAGCTCCATTTGTTTGCATGGATTCTTTAGAAGAAACTACATTTATACGCACTATGTCTTTAGAAGGACCGCAACCTTCTCTTCTAGTGGCTGAAATTCCATCAAATAATGATTTCATCTCATCCGAAAATTGTAAACCAACATAACAAAATTGTTTCGCTTCATTATTATTATGTTACATAAATATATCAAATCAATAATATGATTAGTTGCTTTAAGCTTTAATAGGGAATGAAATGTATATAAAAAAAAATACCTACTTATAATCGTCCCACTCTTGTGCAGTCCAATTGATAGTATTAGTCACTCGGATCATAACCATGTCCACTTTTATCTATTAGTTTTGACCATACAATGTACTTCTTTTTCAAATACGTCCACTCATTCTTCAATTGTTTTTGAGAAAACTTAATGCCTTTTTTTTTCCTCAAATGCTTTCACTACATTGTCCCATGATTCTTTTTTAAGCTCTCTTCATTTTTTCCAAGAATACTCACTTGTTCAATGCATGTATCCAAAAAGAATTTAACTATTTTAGTGGTCCTTCCAATTGGCTCTAAGCACTATCTTCGAAGCCATCCTACATGTAATAAAATGATTATACAAAAAATCACATCACTATAATCTTAAAACTCAAAATGAAACCATAAAAACTACCTTAACTTGCTTAAAAAAATAATTAAACTAAGGTCCTAAAAACTTAAAATCAACCAAATGATATATAATCATGCAAACACATGATCATGTTAAGTGGTGATTTGAAATGTGATGGCAGACAGTGTAGATCATAGACCATGCATCCACATGATCAATTTAATTGAATTGATAACCACTATTGATAGGAAAAAGACAAAAATTCTTACCAAACATTTGAGCTTTACAACAAAACCGTTGCATGACTATATATCAAATAACTAATCTTGAAATGAAATCAACTATAAAGTGTCACCCCATAACTATTACAGATTAGAGTAATACCTCAAATATTTAAGAATGATGAGACCAATAAAAAGCAAATGCCTAGAAGATCATCTAAGCAATGGATCGGTGTCTCTATGGGCATTCAAGAATAGAAACCAAAGATTGATCCGATTCCACGCCCCACCATCCATGGGTGCAATATATACACATGCAAACAAATAAACATTTTAATGCATGAAGGTAAACTTGGGTTGTTTGAGATTAAATAGGAAAAAAACACATTCCTATGCAAGCAAATATTTGCATATGAGTTCTCACATCAGTTGGTTTTATTGCCTCACATATACATATATAATTGGTTTGGGATAGAAAGAATAATAATAATAATTAATAAATGAATTCGTAGGGTACAACTTGCTTAACCTCGGCTTTTGCCACCAAAATATTATGATCCACCCGGCCCTTTGCCTTGGATATTGCTTTTTGACGGCAAAATTGGAGGAACATTTCAAAACATATAACGAGGAAAAGTTGACACGGCTTACGAGCATATGTCAAATCTCTCTTGCATGCCATTTATTTTTTCAAGTATAATAATATAATTACTTGCGACTTACCCGTCATGCTAGCATCCATTATTAATAAATTAGTATGTATCATTAAGCCATGGAATGAGGTACAGGTGGCGACTTCGCTTGGTTTGTTTTGCTTGGAAAACATTTTTCGATCGGACCATTAATAGTTTGGGCTCCCGAATGATTCTAGTATTCTAGACCCAACACTTATGCTTAGCCCAACATACAAAAACCATCGGAACCCTTCATTGTACATCTCTCCATAAACTTCCTTTTCATCCCTATTTCTCCACACCTAAATATCCCGTGTAGAAACCTCAATCCCTTTAACAAATATCCCACGAGTATAAGAATAAGCAACCCAAACTTTCTTTTATTATTTTCACATTTTTTCCAATAGATCCAACGAACCAACAAGAGAGAGAGAGAGTCATTTTTCCAATAGAAGAAACATCCGATGTGAAAGATCTAAACTCTTTGCGTTCATCATTGACATGGCAGGATTGAAGTCGGGGGACATCAAGTTCAAGTGGAGGATGACTATATGCTGGTTATTAGTAGAGAGAGGAAGTGTGGGGAGGGGAAAGAAGGAGCCAAGTATGTGAGAATGAAAAGGAGGTTGGTAAGTTTGTGAGGAAATTTGTGTTATCATAGAATACTAATATTGATGCTATTTCTGCTGTTTGTGAAGATGGGTTTTTTACTCGTTACTATTGAGAAATTACCACCTCTTGAATCCGAGAAGCCTAAGAATATTAAGGTCAACATTACTTGAAGAGAAGCATATATGATGTGGGTTTATCGTTGGGTTTGGGGTATTTTGAGTGTGTTAGTTTTTGAATGATTTTATTAGTTTATGAACAGAAACTGGTGCTTGTTGAAAAATATGAATGTCGTAGTCTCTTAATTCAATGTTTTTGCTAATTTTCTTCCCCTTAATATCTTAATTTTGAAAAAGGATAAAGGATAAGCAAAACTATGTAAGGCTTTACTAATTTTTCAAGCTGCGTTAAAGTCCGGATTGTGTTTCTATAACGGGAATCGTATGTCTTTCTAAATCATAAAAACTCCTTGGTCTAACTCGAATTTTCACGTGAAAAATTCAATTAATCATAAAGATTTGACCTTTAATCGGAACCTAGAAACTAAAATAGCTTAATCTATAACACGACTTGATCTAACAAAATAATTATACCAAAAAATATACCAAAAAAAAAAAAAAATCAAGATATCAACGGACACAAAGATAAATCACCCATAATGAAATAGAAGGAAATTACACGGGATTAGACTTTGGAGTTTCGATTCCTAGTAGCTTGTTGATGATGATAGGATGGAAGCACAAGGTTTTTACTTGTTTTAGCGGTAGGAGAGCGAGAGATTGTTTTTTTAATTGATTTGTGTAATCGAAGTTATAAAAATATATCAAAGTATTATAGTCATATTTAAAAAGTTTTAAAAATCATTCAACTAAGCGTGTTAATCAAAAAGTAATAAGTTAAAAATTTTAACTTATCTAATTAAGTAGATTTTGAATGAATTTAAAATTTAAAAATGAGGTTATTTAGATTATCAAACAAACTTTTTATATTAAGTAGTATAATTTAATTTTTTAAATTACTTAAATGGGTTATCAAACGGGCCCTTAGTGTTTCTAAGACCTATACAAACTCAGCGAGATGGGATTGGGATTGGTTTTGTGATGTAACCTTTCATAGAGAGGCATTTGTCTTGCAAGGTCGGTGATGAATGGATGTTCCATTCATTAATTTAATTTTTAATTTTATTTATTAAAAAATATTATATAAATTTTTATTCAGTTTATAATTGGTTTATATTAGTTTATCCACCTATTCAACATCCATTAAATACTTATTAAATTTAATTTGTCAAAAATATATCCATTAAATACCTATTAAATTTAATTTATCAAAAATATTCATTTTAATCTTTATAGTTTTTTTTTAAAAAATTTGATCTTTAAAATTTATTAATTTTTTTTACATTTTTTACATTTATTTATAATTCAAAGTTTTCAAAAAAAAATATTTTAATTCATAATTTTTAAATTTTATGTAATTAGATTCATTCATGTTAATAAAAAATTAAATAAATTAATGGTTGTTAATATGATAAATGATGAATATTTATATCATGAAATCATATTAATGAATATATATATATTTTTTATATTTATCTATTTTAATATTTATTAAATAGTTTTTATAAATATTTATTAAATCGAATGAAATAAATATCTATCGTATGCTCCACCACACTCTGATCCCTAGTCAAGAGAAAAATGCTTCGACGGATTGTTCATATGAATCTAAGGTTTATATCATCGTCATCAGTTTGGGACCCACACTCTTCTGCCCGTCAAATCAATCTCCTCTCCACAATCTCACCATTCACGTGTCCTAAATCCATCACCCCTCCAAAATTCCAACAGCACCCCAGAATGGCTGACTTCATAAAGCTACCAATTGGAGGCTAAAAGGGTAAACTCACCTAAACTCCCGAAGTTCCCGAACTTATCCCTCAAACCGGCACCACTCGGTAATCCCACACCCATCACCGGATCAACACCTCATCAGCCAGTCACCTAAATAAATAACCCTAGCTAGGATACAAAAAGCCCCCTCACCGTCCACCGAACCCATCACCTGCCTGCCTCTCTCTTATCTCTCTCTATTTCTCTCTCTCCTCTCTCATAATCAGAGGATTTGAGAGCAGACCAAAATCCAAACCCAAAACCAACACAAACCTCAAATCTCTCGCATATATATCTTTCTCTCTTTTAAATCAAAACCTATAAAAGAAACCTTTTTTTAAACTCTTCCCTCTCTCTTTTCTCTTCCTAATTTTTTCCCTTTTAAAGCTCTAACTTGTTGGTTATCATCTTAGATCAAGTCCTAGATTTACCTTTTTTTGCCTTGATTGAGGGTTTTGGGTTACTGGGTTGAGATTAAACGGTTAAAAAATTGGAAATTTTTGGATAGATCTGTGTTTTTGATTGATTAATAAGGTTGGATTCATTCTTTTTGGCTATTAAAACGAAAACCCAGATAAAGATATTCAATTTTTAGCTGCTACAACAAAAACCCAGATAAAAGATCCAGTATTTAGGCGTTAAAAGAGGAACCCAGATTAAAAAACAAAAAGAATCGATTTTTTGTGTGGTTTTATTGAGGGATTATTGGGGTAGTGAGGAACAAAAAAAGGAAGAAATGGCAGAGCAAGGAGGCTTGGAAGGTAGCCAGCCAGTCGATCTTTCCAAGCATCCTTCTGGCATTGTTCCCACGCTCCAGTAAGTCTCTTTTCCTTTTTCTTCCTACTTATGAAATCTATTTCCTTTTTTTTTTTTTTTTTGTATTTTTGGATATGCCTATATGTGTGTTTTGACCTAGGTGATGTGAAGAATTTGTGGAAGCTTTGCGTTTTTGGGTTTGATTGCAGTTGTCTTTGTTTGGTTTTTCCCAAAAAAAGGGTGTGTGTTTGTGGTGATGCTGGTAAATTGGAAGGAAAAGAAAGAAAAAGTGTGATTATATTGTTTGTAGTAGTTTTTTTTAAAAGATTGTGAAGTATTTTTGTGATGTAAGGTGAGCAGTGTTTAGGTTAATCATTGGGGAAGTCTTCAGAGGTTGAGCTGGGTTTATTGACTTGTGTAGTAGGAAGGAAAAGAACCTATGTTCGATGGCTGTCAAGTATTGTAAATGAGAAGTGAAAAAAAGAAAAACTGGGATTTGTTTGCGGATGTGCAGTTGTAAATGAACCTTTTCTTGAATAATAAACTTAAGCAGCATGCTTGTTATTTTTTGTTTATTTATTTGGTTTTTAATTTTTTAGGCCAAAAATGAGAAATCTTATGGAAACTTGTTAGGTTTTCGTGTTCTATTTTTACGTTGAATGAATTTGTTCTCGATTAAAAGATGAAGCTTATAGAACGGATTTGCATTTGATGATTTTTTTTTATTGTAATGTGAAGTTGTTCACTGACTAGCCTTTGTCAATACAAAAGGAGTTTTACAGGGAGAGTCAAACACGTATATGTTTGTTTCAGCTTGGAGGCATGAGAAAGAATTTAAATCATTTTACAGCTTTTTTTATAAAGTTGCATCCAAATTGACTTACATCAAGCTTGAAATGGCATGACTCTCCTGGCAAAATCCTAGAGCCTTCTTTGCTAGGCCATGCTTCTAGATTCTATGTGGTTTACCTTTAATGGATATAGTAACATGGTTTGTTAGAGCTTTTTTGTATCTGCCAATTAATTCTCCACTGTTGCTTTGTAGTGGTTTGAGCGATTTTTACATATGAGAGCTAGAGGCAACTTTCTAGGAAATTGGGGGTCTTTTGCTCCTTTTTTAGTTTTCATTTGGCAGCTAAAAATTTTAAAAACCATGTCTTCTTGCACTCTGCCTCGATAGTTAATTGGAGAGAGGTCCTTTTTTCAATTTGATACTTTACCTCAGAGCTGAAATCATCAATAACAAATACATGGTCTTGCTTCTTATATGTCGTAGTTTAAAATTTTAAGCTGCTATCAGGAGGAATGGTGTTTAAATAAAGGTTTTGAGTTATACATTGGAGAGATTGTATAAAATTGCTTCACATTTCACATGTGAATTCAGCTTTGACTTTGTTTCTCTCAATATGGAGACAAATGTCAAGAAGTGGATTTGTTTGACGACATTTAGGTTCAACATTCACTATGTCTTTTTCCAGGCTTCATTTTTTTTCTCTTTCACCATCTTTTTTCTTTTCCTCCAAAATGATTCGTCAATATTGAGTAATCCATGCTAAATTATGACATTACTGTTATGGTTTGAACCATGTGCTTCTAGGAACATTGTTTCAACAGTGAATTTGGATTGCAAACTGGATCTTAAACAAATTGCCCTGCAAGCCCGTAATGCAGAATACAACCCCAAGGTATGCCTGTGTTTGAAACTTCCAGATACAAACTCTGTTGTTTGTTGGTCTATGATCCCTCACCTTTTATACATGTTCATCCAGCGTTTTGCTGCTGTCATCATGCGGATTAGAGAACCAAAAACTACAGCATTGATTTTTGCCTCTGGCAAGATGGTGAGTTATTTGCCTCGGAAAATTATGATTTTTGATGGCTGTATATTGGTTGTTGCTTTCAAAGCTATGCTACTCATATTTGTTATATTACCAATGGTTTCAAAGAATGTTGCTTGAAACAGAACAGCATAACATGAGTGTTATGTGATTGAAAACCCTTTATTAGGTTGAAGTGTAAATTTCATGTAGTTATAAGTGGACCTGCTATGCTCTGTGGTATTGGGTGTTTGACAGTGAAGAAGTAGCATATTCATAAATGGGCATAGCTGGGATGAAGATGTTAAAACTCATGCGTGGAAATGCTGGAAAGAATTAGATAAGATTCAAGTGTATTTGCACTAAGTTGAAATTCGCATCTATTGCTTATAAAAAGTTTAGCTCATATCAAAACTGAATGGTGGAAAGTGTGAATTTAACAATTTATTTAGTTTGTGAATGATGTTCAGTTGAGTTGAAGTGCTGAATATTGTACTATGTTGTTTAACTGTGTAGAAGGTTTCTGAGTTTTGCTTTTATTGAAGAATGTGGGTTATTAGTCTAGTGTAGTGCTGATTCCTTGTAGTATATTTTGGTGATCTCTTGTATCCCTTTGTCTGAAAGAGTATGTTTATCTGCTGTATCAGGTGTGCACAGGTGCCAAGAGTGAACAACAGTCTAAACTTGCTGCGAGAAAGGTATTGCCTTCTGAGTTGAGGAAAATTAGTATGTGTTTTGTAAAATATTTTCACAAAGGAAAGTTGACTTGATTGTTTATGTACCATTTCTTTCTGAACAGAAACCCTGAACCCTTACTTTTCAATATATTGTCTTCCATTTGATAAACAATATATTAAAACTAGATATTGATTTATAAATTTCTCTGTTGCACAAGTACCCATCATTTGGAAAGATTTCTGGTGGGCCTTTTCGTGTTCATCACGTGGGAAAACATTATTTTGTTGTAATGTCCAACAAACAAAAGCATTCTGTTGCTTTTCCTAGATAAGCAAAATTATAGACTGAAGTGAAAAATGGAGATTTGTTTGACAACTAAAACAGGGCTTGCATGTTTCTCCTTGAAATGCTTTTACTGTGACATGTTTCTCATTCAAAAATGAATATTTTGTTTTCCAGTATGCACGCATAATCCAAAAGCTTGGGTTTCCTGCCAAATTTAAGGTATCTATACTCTCTCTCTCTCTCTCGCGCGCGTGCGTGTGCACACACACACACAAACACACTGAGTATGCATGTGCACACACGAGTAAGTTTCTTCTGGTTAGTTTTGAGCTGTTGTCTTTGGAAGTTCCCCTTTTGTTTACGTTTCCTCATTGCAATTGCCAGGACTTCAAGATTCAAAATATTGTTGGATCCTGTGATGTGAAGTTCCCCATCAGACTTGAAGGACTTGCATACTCCCATGGTGCTTTCTCAAGTGTAAGTGAAAACCATCATCTGTCGAGCATAGGCTCCATTTGGCCTAGCGGGAAGAGGGTTGCTTTAAAAAGCATTACATGTACCAGTCTTTCTGCTTAAGGGAGTCGAGAGTATACAGCAGAAACACTGTCTTACCAAACACTTTCAGCAGCTCTTGCAGCCAAAAACAGCCTTACTCCTCTGCCTGTATTATATTCGTTCAATATGAACTTTAAAACTCTTATGCTGTAGTACTTGTGCAAGTATGAACCCCAAAGGATGTGCTTTGTATAGGACATTGCATTGTATTCATGCAGGATGAACCTGAGCTCTTGTGCTCTACTTGTGCAGTATGAACCCGAGCTTTTCCCAGGCCTGATATATCGCATGAAACAACCAAAGATTGTGCTCCTTATTTTTGTCTCAGGAAAAATTGTGATCACTGGAGCCAAGGTAAATCCTAAAACTCGCTTCCACAATCTTGGATCTGCATGCTGAGAGAGTCTGGTTGCTGATACTTCTCTTTGTTTGACATCCTAGGTGAGAGATGAGACATACACAGCCTTTGAGAACATATACCCTGTCCTAACAGAGTTCAGGAAAGTCCAGCAATGGTATACGTCTCTATCTCTTTACCTCTTTTAATACCTGATTATTTTATTCCATCAGGCTTAATATGTATGTTTTCTTGGTGGGTTGCAGATTTATATTTGAAATGGTGCTTTGGTGTCGTGGATAGTCTTGGATGAGGTGGGTTCAAGTGTGCATATGTGAAGCTAGGGCACAGCCTTCATGGCTCTGGGTCTGTTGCTGTCTTATAATGTGTTTGGTCTCTTGCCCACGTAAGATGGGTGTGAGACCTGGGGGAAAGTGCTTTTGTAATGTGTAATTAGTAAGGTCTTAGGAGTTGTAAGGGAAGGACGGGGGGTGAATAACATGTTTTTGTTTTAGTCGATGCGATCACACATGGATAATTTTTATGTTAAAAATTTAGTTGCAATTTTGACTCGAACCCGTGTTTCTAACTGCTTTTAGTATTCATGATTCTTTAGTCATACAGTAATGAGATATCTCTGTCTGGTAAAATGGCGATCTCCTGGACAAACTCTGCAATGGTTATTGGTTTAGAGAGGTGTTTAAGGGCATCACGGATGTTTATGGCTGTGGGGTTTGATAAATCAATGATTACTTGCTCTTGTTTTTTCTCTTTTAACGTCATGTCCAAAAGAAAAATATATTTAATCCCAATGGGTATTGGGTAGGACTTAGTGGGGGTTTCTTCTTCCATGGGATTCTCCTTAATTTCAAATAACAACGTTTTCATAAATTTTTTAGTGGATCGAAAATGTCATCTTTTTATCGAGGTGCAAAATCGAGGGGGAAAAAACGGGGTCAAAACGTTGGCAAAAGCTGAAATGAAGTGTGGACGTAAAAAAAAGGGAAAGAGTTGCTAATAGCATGCACATCAAGAAATCACTTTCTTGTTGACAAATAAGAGTCCAAAATTTGAAGTGAAATTCTCCTGAACAGAACAAAATCAAGAAGCAAGACGGATGGCAAGTTTGTAAATTTAACCACATTCAAAGAAGATATTCGAGGAATAGAGAAGGGAAAGAAAAGGCACATGTGTGATAACTTGTGGCAACGGTTTTTTCCCATAAAACCGACTTTTCTTTCTTAGGAGTTTTTTCTTTTCTTTTACTTCCAATTCCAGGAAATCAAAACCGTGAAAATGCCTACACAATCAATACCTGGAGTAACTTCTCAGTTCTCACATTAACATCAAAAAAGTACAAACAAGAAAGCGGTATTCTTTCTCTTTACCGATATTCTTTGTTTCTTGTAATATAGATGGCTCAATTCACAGCACAAGGTCGGTTGGAGTTGCTGTTTAACAATGACGGGGCTTACTCTAAGCTTCTTGGTAATGATTTTCTTGGTGGATTGAGATCATTTCAGGCCCAGAAGAGAAAAATCAGGTTTCTTGTTGCTAGTAGTTCAAAGTTATATGCTGCTGCTTCTTTGAGCAAGAAATCCAAGCATTTTTATACACAGGCAAGTCAAAGTGTTAGTAAGGTTAATGATGAGAGTGATGAAGATCATGAGAGAGAGAGGGATGAGTTGGCTTGCTTTAGAGGCCTTGTCTTGGATATCTCTTACAGGTGCCTCATTTATCTCAATTCACATAACTCTTGTGCTTCGTTTACTTGTGGGTATCAATTTATTTACTATTTCTTTGACTGGGCTCATTATTTAAATATGGATATTTCTTTTTTGCTTTCTTTGATAGTATTGATTGGATTCTTTTTTGTTTTTTGTTTTAATTTATTGACTAGGATTCTGTAACATGTCACATGCTCTGGGTTTGGTTTTTAGTGTACAAATGAACTGTTTCACCGTGTAATGGGTGAGATGTTTGCTAGTTTGAACTAGTGATCAGGTTTCTTGAATTGTTGGTTTAAATCATTTTACCAACCCGTTTGTTAAATGAAGGGATTGTCACTTGAAAAGTTACACAAGCTGATTATACCATGAAATAGCCAGTGGGGAATGCAGCGTATTCTAGTGTACTGGTACATGCCCATCATTTAATATATTTCCAAGATTGATGGGTAGTAATACTTGGGAACGTGTAGTCAGAAGTGTAGTTGATATTCCTTGAAGAATGTTAGTTTGCAATAATGGCAGCTTGTAGTTTGCAGAAAGAATGACTTTTGGATTACAGGTGTGTTCAATACATGTCTCTTAAAACCTCTCCTGTGCACAGTTAATACCTTCCGTTGATGTCTTCGTGACCTCATTTCTCTTTGTTGATTGTGGGTTTCCATTTAACTTCCGTATCCCACTTTCTTTCCCCACGTCGTTTCAACATCACAGGAAAGAAGGATAGGAAGCTACCCTTTCTTTTCTGGAAGTGCTTGACTCAATTTTCACTTTTCTTTTCTTTTTCTATTTGTTTTTCTTTCTAACAATTAAAAAAGACTTGGATAGATGTTTGTATATGGATCTGATTGTTCTTGTCCTGCACCAGGCCAGTCAACGTTGTGTGCTGGAGGCGTGCTATATGTTTGGAATTCATGGAGAAGGTTGTACCGATGTGGCCCGCTAATACACTTAGATTTGTGAACAGCAGTCATATAATTATGGTTGCAGCTTAAGGCCCTAAAGTGTTAGTTTCTCATGCAAATTTTGGATCAATCACGAGAAAACCTAGTAAACATGGCAATTCAAATTAGTGTTTCAGCATATCAAAGAATGATGTGCATGAGAAGCAGGCTGGCACATGATATGATTCCTTTGACTAACTTGTTTCTGAAGCAATACCACCTGTAAACCTATCGATACACATAATGTTTTATTTCTCAGATGAACAACGCGAACCCCCCAACCCCAACTCACACACACAAACCCTTACAACTACATATAAGTCATCGTTGCATTTGTTTTCTTAATTCTTTACCATTCTGTTTCCAGGCTGATGTGCTAGAATATTATGATCAGACTGTAAATTCCCCAAGTGGATCCTTTTACATTCCAGCTGTACTAAGGGTAGGCATTTGAGGACTGCATATGATCTATTTTTTCATTTCCCTGTCATTCTCTCATCATTTTATCTTTTCATGTCAAACTCCCCGTCTCCCCTACCATTTCTTACTAAAATGTTCCTACTTCTTTACTTGCATCCCACTCCATCCAAACTTACTGTAAACTTCTGCTTTCAGGTTCCACATCTATTGCAGGTCGTTAAGAGAAGAAGAATCAAAAGCAACCTTAGTCGCAAGAATATACTTTATCGGGACCACTACACTTGTCAGTAAGTAGCCTGCGACATATTAGTCCAAGTTTAATCTGTTGCTTCAAATTCTGAAGTTCCGTGCGAGATGGCATTTGCATATGTTTCTGCTTAGTTAGATTAGGATTTGATCTCTGTAAGCACATTGTGATAAGTTTGTTTCAATTATTTGAAACATAGTCATCTTAGGTAGTTTGTTCATGTAATAGGAAGGATTGAAGGAAACAATCACTCTACTAATAGTAAGGAAAATGTGTTTGCATATGTAGAAGAAACCCAACCAATATCTTGCTGTTGGGAGTTGACATCATGCAGATGCACTACCCTCTGATTTGACAACTTCTTTTCCATGATTTCAAAAGTCCTTACTTTCAACTGCATTCAGGTTCTTTTTTCACGAAGATGTATCTGAACCAAATGAATCTCTCTCTGTTTAGAGACCCTTTTTTGTGGCAAAGTTTGAAGATAAAGTTATCTTTAAAAGTCAGTCAACCTATTCCTCTTAATTTCACAGCTTTGTGTATTACCAATCACACACATAAGCTAGTTATTGCATTAAACACACACACATATGACCTGCATGCTGAGGACAATTGCATTTGTTCTTTCTTGATCTAGAGGGGATGAACCCAGCTAATAAATTGGTTTACTCTGTTCTCAATTTGGTCCATGCTTTGGTCATAATGATGCATTTAGAAAACCCAACAAACTTATAGAAGTTGCAGAATATTCCCAGCCAGTGAGCTACTACACTAATCTGTTCTCAATTTGTTTAAGTATTATCAATCCCAATTTCCAAAATACTTGATTTGGAAAGTGAAGAAAACATGATTAAGTTGTAAATTGTCAGTTAATGGTGAAAGTTTCAATTTTACAACCTGAATTCTAAAGATGGAAAGCAGAGCAGCTGGAGGGACAAGAGAGATGTAACCTCCTACCAATCAATCTTTTCATTACTTAACAATCACACTCTTAAATCCACCTGACCTATCGTCTGATACCTGCTTCTTTTAATCTATTACTAGGTAGGCCATGGCTACATTGGCGAAAACATAGTATGGCTTGCATGTGTTAAGCATATATATAGCATTACAGAACAAGCCAGAATCAAACTCAACTTGTCTATTTCTTTCTTTACCATTTCCTGGCCATCGGATCCTTTTGGTTTGTATAATGCGGATATTGATTGATAAGTTCTTGTTGATGAAGATTCTATCTATGTTGCTAGGTTGGGGACACAAAAGGGTTCAAAGGCACATCAGAATTTTGTGTCATCCTTCTTCACTTGAAACGAGAAGAGGAAAAAAATAGTATTTGTTATTTTGATGGATTTGCATGTATTTTGTGATCGAAGTACTTTCAGTTTTTTGTTTTGTTTCCACAGTTGTTGTTTCCTTCCGTTCCGAATGAAGTTACTATGTACAGGAAGAAATATGCTAGTGGCATGCATGATCGTAATTAATTTTTTCTGTGCTTAATTTTATAGTACCTGTGTGAATAGGTATTGTTCTTCTCGTGAGAATTTGACCATTGATCATGTTCTGCCAACTGCACGAGGAGGTGAATGGAAATGGGAAAATCTGGTAAGATACTAGTTGTTAAGTCTAGGAAAATCTTTTATTTTGATGCAAACAAAGATTATTTGAAAAGAGACGAAGATGAAAGAAAGGAAAGAGATTTTCTCGGTACTGCAACATGCTGACAAGAGAATTCAATCTAATAGCTGCTTGATTGTTCTTGACTTTTCCTTTTCTTTTTATTTATTCTTTGAAACTTACTGGGATTACTTTGTAAGTATTCATTGCTGCTACTGATCCAGTATCTTATCTACTGCTAGCATTGATGATATGTTTGACTAGTTACTTGACTTTCAAAATGGTGTTTTTCCTTTTCCCCTCCTGGTTAATTATAATGGAAACACATATAAGCTACATGGCCGAACAATTTATGGAGGACATGGAAGGAATCAAGAGAAGAAATAGAAGAGTGAAAACTTAATGTAGATTTATATGTTGGCATTTTGAAAGTTCTTCACAGGTTCTGTGGCTTGGTACCTCTTGTAACAGGTTGCTGCTTGTGCCAAATGCAACTCAAAGAAGGGTCAAAACACTCCAGAGGAAGCAAACATGAAGCTGAGTAAGATCCCCAAGGTATTATTTACTTCTGGTATTATCACAAGAATAAATGGCTGTAACTCAAGTATTGGTCCATAGAAAACAGTTATTGCATGTTGTAGCTACGAGTGGTAAGCAAAGGTGTTACCATTTTCTCATTATGAACGAAAACCAGATGACTTTTGGCAATGATTTTCAATGTAAAACTGAGCCAAACATGAAGTTTCATCAGCTGAACATAAGAAATATTATATGAAGAATTTTTACCCTTCATGTTGCAGGCCCCAAAAGATTATGACATACTTGCAATACCCCTAACAAGTGGAGCAATAAGGATGCTGAGGATGAGAAAGGGGATGCCTGAAGAGTGGCAACAATATCTAGCAAGGCCATCCTCAGAGCCACGGCATAAATTCTAGGTGGAAGTTGTACATTCTTGTGCTTCGTACATATGATTTTTCTAGCTCTCGGTGCCCAAGTCTCAAAGATGTATTCTGATGCAAATGTGATTTGCCTAGTTTTTCTTTCTTTTGCCTCTGTATACCGGATAAACTCATGTAGAGGAAACATTTATCTAATAACATAGCACCTTTAGTATTGTGGTGGGCTCTTGTTTGTCATTTCAAATTTAAGTGCGTAAACTTACTTTCATATAATGCTTATGAGTTTGATCAGAAGTTGATACATAAAGTAGGTCCTTGGATGGTTTTCTTCTGGTTCTCCTTTTTATGATGATCTTTCTCGGCAATTTTCCAGAGCTAGGTGCTTAGATTTGAATGGAGCTCTAAATATGAAATATGCTTGCTTGCTTGTTTTCATGCATCTTACCGATGTCCTGGTCGTTTGAGAATGAGGCGAATTGTCTCCCATAGCCTAAATTTAACTTGTGTAAATCTGTGGACTGTTTGATGCTGCAAGTCGATTTTTGATGGATTCACTTTTGACTTTTTGATAATTGCTGCTTTACGTAAATGCAGCTGGGCTGCCAATTTCTTACTGATCGCTTCTAAATCTATTGATGCCATTTCCAGCAACCTTCGCTCATTTGTCATTTGAGACAACCTTCTTTTTCCTTGCTCGCATGGCATTTGTTAAGCGCACACACTCAATGGTTTTTGTGCTATTCCTAGATTTTGTCCTCAGAATTATTCAATGTATTCATGATTATCTGCTGATTTTCATCTCTGCTTGAACCCCAATTAGTCAAGTCTGGCATATGTGCAAAAGGAATCTAAAGCTGTTAAGTATTCTTATCACTTTTTTAACTTTTTAAGTGATTGAGCAGGGAAGATGGTGTCATGCTTGTTGACTTTTTAAGCATATGCATAGACAGAATCATAACTCAAAGGCCTGAGCCTTAGCCACATTTCTCTTTTTTCTACCTCATTATTGTTATTGTCAAGTATTTATTATTCATACTCTCATCACCTCTTAGCTCTTACAATAATTGCATGCTGTGTCCTACTCTTACAATGAGTGTGTGCGGGAGTAGTAGGTGGTTGGGATGAGTCTGTCCCTATATGGTGCCATTATTCTCACAGCGATGCTGCCCTGTGCCCAGTCACAGTCAAAGCTAGGAAAGAGTTCCCCAAGTCTTATAACGTGTACCGACTTTGCTTTCTTCGTAGGGCATGGGATTTGTGGTTCAAATTCAAATGGAACCAAATTTTGGAAACCGTCCAAATTATAAAATTAACTTTTGAATTTTTAAATTTTATATAATATTTAAAGTGCACGTATTATCAAATACTTTTACAACTATAATAGTCACGTACAAGTAATGCAGTGAAAACCTTGTCAAATAAAATTATAGTATAATATAAGCATAATTTTATTTATTTATTATTATTTGTAGGATAATGTAAATTACTTTTTCATTAACAAAGAATTTATAATTTAGTAACAGTGCTATTTTATGATAAAAGGTCACGAACTTAAATCTTAACAAATTAATTTTGTAAAAAGTTTTGAACTTATTAAGGATAAGAAAAAAAAAAAAGAAAAAAGAAACACGCAGTGTGGAGACTAGAGGAAGGCAGGGGAAGTTACCGTCACCCTCTTATGTGATATCATTAAGAAAATAAAATAATGACAAACGCATTTGTAGAGTCTATATTTGGGTGTGGGTAGTGGCTCCAGTTTAGGAAATATCACAATTTTCCATGAAAGTAAACAACCTTTGGGTTTGACCATTTTTATTGTTATTTTTGCAATCAATGAACTTGATTCCTATGTAACTAACTAATTTAATGGTAAAAGCACTATTCACAAGTATTTTGAAAAAGGTTTGGGGTTGGTTTTTAAATAATTTTGAAATAGTTTTTTATTAGGCGGTAAAAATATTCGTAAATTATCTTTAATCGAAATTAAATTATTTTTCCAAATGGTTGTAAATAAGTATCGATTTAGTGTATGATTAAAAAATTGATTTCATTCAAGTTTGATACAAGACACTTAATTCCAAAAGTTCCAAAAAAAAAAAAAAAGTTTTGAAAAGCTGGCTCTTAAATGTCCCCAAGACCCTTCTTTGTTGGATGGGGCTAACGCTATGAGGTAATTAACTAAGGGTAGAATTTGGGCATAGTTTGATATACGGAAAATAAAAAAAGGGAGGGGAGGACAAAAAGTCAAAAGTGAAATGGAGCGGGCATCTTATTTCAAAGAGGTCACATGCGACGGCAAGGCTGGTCAGTACGTTGGTTGAACTGAATTGCACTGTGGATTGCTTCTGATGAGCTCAGACATGATGGGAACCTGTTCCAACCCATTGTCCGAAATCCAAAAAAATTACCATGTGGGGTCAAATTATGGAACAGCTGAGATTGATGCTCTACGAACTAGGAAGACACATCACAGTTGGGAGTCAGACCTCTGAATTATTTACTATACACTACCAAGTATCTATTTCAAACCATTTTGAAAAACTAGAAATGCAATACTCATCTAACAAGCGTCCCGCCCCCACAATGTCTTTCTGTGTGTAGTTTACTACGTAAATGGTTTTTATGTCATTTTTTAGAGCAATTTTTTGAGTGTCAGACCTTTCAATGTTAATTCATCATTCCCATCCAAGATCAGAAAATATATATATAGAGAGAGAGAGAGAGAGAGAGTCCAATTCTTGAAAAGTTTGCAATGGAACTGTAGATTCACCTGGTAAGTCAGGCTTAAGAAAACTTCCCTTTTTATTTAGAGAATCTAGCCGTGCAATTTATGGTGCTAAATACAAGTAGTACTTCCAAGTCCTTTTATTTTTTTATTTCTTTGGGATGCTGTTTGCCAGTCTTTACTTCCATTATCTGTTCCAGAGGGAGAGAAAAGAGAGCTGCTGGGCAGGCAGTCTAATTACTTCAGGATAACATCTCCCTACCTGCAGTCCTTCACTATCTTTTAGATTTTAAATTTCATTAGCCCTCCAAAAATGTAAAGACCCTTCCTTTTAAACAAGCTTTTATATTCTTTCCAAAATTTATAATAAGACAAAATTCAATTGATTTTATTTGGATATACATATATATACAAATGAATTAGATTGAAAATGGAAAATAATTAATAATTTTAAATTACCCACGTGAATTCATTGATGTTTTAATGTTTTTATATAGATTAATGGTAACTATTTTGAAATTAATTATACTTTTTGTTTTTTTCCAAAATCAACAACAAATAATGTAAATTAAGGAAAATAAAAATGAAGTTATTATACTGTATATATAAAAGGAGTCCATGATATAGGGAAAAGGTGCAAGTAAGTAGTGCATTTTCTTAGAGTTTAGATAGAGATGAGAGAGAGAGAGAGAGAGAGAGATACTTGGGCTTGAATTTTGTTGATGGATTAGTAACTTTGATTGTTTCTTTAGCTTTATCTGCCGACAGAAAACTCAGGCCATAAAGGGTTACACTCATTGAGACAGCTTAGCAACAACACAGCAGTACTGCACTCTTTCTTTCCTTCCTTTACTTTCTTTAATTTCTTTCACTTTCTCTTACTTTCCCTCCCTCTCTTTCTCTCATTTCTCTTGGTGGGTTCTTGTTAGTTTCAAACATTTTCTTTTCGTTTCTTGGCCATGGATTTCTGCCGGAATGTGACAGTGTCCACTGAGTATCACCAGCAAGAGAAGGTCCATGCTTCTCCTCCTCCTTGCTCTAAACTTGGTGCTGCAGCTGCTGCCTTGACAGCTAGTACTAGTCCTCTTGATGACCTTTTCTCTGCTCAAAACACGGTTGGTTTTCTTCTGCTTGTTTCTTTCATGTGTTTTTTTTTTAATGCACATTTAAGTACAGTTTTTGTACTTACTGGGTCAGTCTCAGCTCCTGAGGGTTTACCAGAGGGGTTTTTATTTTCAGGTGATAGAGATTTTAGCAGAGTTAGTGCCGCCTTTTTTTTTTTCTTTTCCTTGTACCTTTTGTGTTTCTTCTGCTTCTTTTCTTTCTTGTTGTGCTATTGTTTTTCTGCTTCTTGTGCTAGATTTCGTCTAGATATTTTATAGCTTGTTTATGTGCTCAATAAACTTGGAAAGTAACAATCATTTCTGGTTTTATCTCTTTCTCTGTTATTCTGTTGTTTTTAGAAGTAATACTTTCCGGAAATTATATTTCATAAACCCAGTTCATAATGGCCAATTTTCTTTACTTTGGTGAATTGAAAAATTGTAGGAAGTCGATTTTAGCTTGGAATGGCTGTCAGTATTTGTAGAGGACTGCTTATCCAGCACAGGAAACTGCCTTCCATTACCCACGGTTGATGTTCAAAAGACAAACACAGAAGAAAACCTCCCAAAACCCTTGCAACAGAAACCCCAAGACCAAGAAGACCCATCTTCTTTGAAGAAATTTGTAATTCCAGGAAAAGCAAGAAGCAAGAGAAGAAGGCTTACTGATGACAAGACCAGAAACCCATTAACTAGCTGGTGTTATACCAACCAAGCCCTTAATTTGGCCAGCTCGGACCCTCCTTTGCTCCAACAAACATATTGGTTAGCTGATAGTGAACTCATTACGCCCATAAAAGAGGGTAGCAACAACAACAAAGGCATGGATAGTGAAGCACAAGATGTTGAGGAGGACCAAGGAAAGGTAGAAGCTGTGGTAGGGAGTAGTGGCAGCAAGGAGAGTTCAGGCATTTTGGAGAAAGATAATGGACAGCAGCAACCAAGGAGGTGCACCCATTGCCTAGCACAAAGGACGCCACAATGGAGGGCAGGACCATTGGGTCCAAAAACACTTTGCAATGCATGTGGAGTGAGATACAAGTCAGGCAGGTTATTGCCAGAGTATAGGCCAGCAAAGAGTCCTACTTTTGTGAGCTATTTGCACTCCAATTCTCATAAGAAAGTACTGGAGATGAGAATGGCTGGCTTCAGTTCAATTCCTAGTGAGCAGTAGTAGTAACTTCGAAATTCCAGTTTCCAGTGTATACTAAAAAGGTTTAGTCCCGTAGAATGCAGAATCATATTCTGAGCTAGCAATGTAGTGAATTCCTTATTTGTTGAGAAATAGTTTTCTACACAAATAGGAGTAGGTGATGTGATATGGGATTCCCTTGCAATTTGGCTCTGGGTGCTTTCTTTCTATATCCTCTTTTCTGTTTTCAGAACTTTGTTTTTTTTTTTTTTTTTTTTTTTTGGCCTTCTTCTTTGCAGTTGACACCTAACTACACTTTTTAATTAAATGCCTACTTTTCTGTTTACGTTTGATGATCTTGAATTTCTCTAATAGACTATCTTTGGCTATCTTTTTCTACATCTTATAGATTTCAGTCGTCACCTGGCTGAAAGTCATAGTACTGGGTAGCCCTTGTAGAGAGCGTGCGATTCTTTATTTGTCAAAAGTCATACGGGCCAAGGCTGCATATAATCCAAGTGTCTGTAATCTAAACAAGGTTTAGAAAATCCAAGTGTCTGTAATTTATACAAGGTTTAGAAAAGAATCTAGCGTTATATATGTATTTTTGTATTATTTAAAATTTGGCAATATCTCAAAGGAGATAAGATAATTGATTTCAGCATGCACGTGACCTGTCATTATCCCTCCCAACCAATTGGTTTTGGTTCTCATGAAAATGGGAAACAGTTTGAAGAGATTCTCTTGTCTCTTTTCTGCTTCAGTGAACCCATTTTAGACTTTCTGATTCCTTTGAACTATCTCTCCAAGTGAAAGCCCAGTAGCCTGTAGGTTTTCCCTCCCATGTTTCCCACCGGACCCCCTCTCTCAAATCTTAATTATCTTGGAAAAAGAGTCACTTTTTTTTTTGGTTTATATTTGTCCTAGGTTCGTCCTAAGAGATAGATAGCCAGGACAAATTTCTACAAGAAAATACAACTACCGACATGTTAAACTTTTCCCTTTTTTTTTTGTTTTTTTTCAAGGACCAATTAAGGCCAGGATTTCAAATATTTGACAACTGCAGAACGATGGGTGTTAGACTATATTTTTTACTATTTTTTAATTATAAAGACATTGCGATGTTTTTTATTTTCTGTTCCTCTCAAAATAATTATTAAATCAAAACATTTAAATCATTCATTTTACTATAATATTCTTAATTAAATTTGGGATTTAAAATTCAAATGAATGTATTTTTTATTAAAAAAAAGGATAAAAAATGAGTACAAGCTAAGCAAAGGAGATGTTATTATACTCAAACATGATATCTCGTGCAAGAAAATAGACTTCCTACTTGCTCAATTCATTGAATAAGTGCCAATAAATTGTACAATTTTTTTTTTTTTTTTAAATGGAGGGGTGGCCTTACCCTATTGGATAAAGCTTTCAGGCCATTTAAATGTCCATTTCCATCGCGGAAGTCCCCACAAAAGAAATGGAAGGCAGTACGTTTTTTACTTTTTTTCTGAAGTAAAGTGTTGGTATAGTTGGATAGCCAATAGTCTTGCTGTAACTTTCTCTTTTCTTTTTCTTTTTTTCCTTTCTCCACTGTCTGTAAGAGAATTGTCCGACCAAAGAAAGAGAGAAAGAAAAACCATTCAAGAGTATCGTTTGCTCAAGAAATATCCCTCCCTGAATATGATGTTGAATAATACTACTATTACTTTGCGATAGTAGTGTTGTTTTTGCTTTCAAACTCAAGCACCAAAACCTAATTTTCCACTAAATTTCATCAAGCCATGTCCAAGCAAAATTACCAGAACTTTTGAGCCTTCGTTCAAGATGGATCACCTCTGTTTCTGATGGAATAACAACTTAATTTGTCCTGTTCATTACTTTTTATAACCCTTTTAAAATATCTAGTTATCCAGGAACGATTACAATAATAAAAAAAAATTTGTTTGCAATTGACTTGGGCGTTTTGTGTATCGTAATTTCAAAATAAAGCAAATGAAGAAACTTTTTTCTTTCTTCGACAAAAAAAGACAAACCTCTTTTTAATCCTCCAAGAATAAAACTTCCAAGTTTCATTTACTTTTCGTTGACAATGGAAGACAGATGTATATAGGGAAATCTGATCTTCCATTTTTTCCATCTCGGGGAAAATTCCTAATTCAAAATTCCCTTCCATGGCAATATTCCAAACTGCCAGTGCTCTCACCCCTCTTCTTTCTTGCAAAGATAAAATAAAATAAAACCATGTTATTCGTCTAATTGGAACTAATTACTTGATAGTAACGTACCAGCAACTTAAAATAGCTTTTTCCCAATCAAGTTAAACCTTACAAGAAATTCTAATCATACCGGCACTCTATTACAGGTTTTTTTTTTTTTAATTGGTACACTCATTCATCAATAAACTTGTGAGTTTTGGATTATATAATGAAAATAATTGTTTTTTATTACATAAATTAGATTCACGAATCACTAGGATTTTTTTGCTCGATAACTTGGCAATGCCATTTCAACTTAATTATGCTTATGTTTTCCATCACGCGTTATCTAAGACAATTCTAATTAGGTTAATAATGTTTCTTCTGATTTGCTTTTGGCAGTTGGTAGAAGAAATCTAACCCATCCTACCATACGAGGGTTTATTACACCGAGAACAAAATCCAAATATATTTTGAACTCTGCAAGGACGACAATGATTTTGTAGTTTCTTTTTTTTTTTTTATTTAGTCATTTTGGTTTATATATATATATATATATATATATATATATATATATATATATATATATATATAAACAATGACATTATTTTATTGTGTAGAAAACTCTAACATTTTTTGTTGATTGATTCTAACAAACTACCTCAATAATTTGAAAGTATATTTTGTTGAGGCAGGGAGACTCATTTGGATGTAGCTTGCATTTTAAGGTGCTACGTACATAGCAGTCTCATTAGGCTGGTTAACGAGCGAGTGTAAAAGAGACAACGTTCCTTGCGAGAGTTCAAGGGGAACTTCGAAAGATTTATAGAATATTAAACTAGATATATAAGTCCATTAGATTTTTTTATTATAACCTTAGTTATTCACTTTATAAATAAAGACAATATTATTTACATTTGTAAGTCGTTACTTGATAAAACCTTAATAAGAAATCTTAATATTGTCGTGGAGCAAACATAATTACCGAATCACATAAATTTTTATGTTATATGATTGTTTTTATCTTTTTATTTTAATTTCTTACTTGATTCGTTTTCTAACATATTTAATGTTTGTTCTAAAAACTTGATTTCATTCTTGAACCCAAATTAATTAAAAAGGTTGGCGTGCACACATCTAGTGTTGTTTATGATAACCTAATGACTTATTTAATCAAAATAACAATAATAATAATGAGAGAAATATGAAAGTGAAGGCAAGGATCAAAGATTCCCACTATTAAAAAATTAAAAATTTAAACCACGTCTTGGTCTAAATGATTGTACATTTCAGTGTCAATAAGAACTTTTTAATTCCCACTAATTGGAATTTGAATTTGAATTAAAGTGTTTTATTAGTAAAAGATCATATTGATTACAGGTAATTAGCTGTCCACGACATGTGGACAAGCTAGTTAAAGTCAAAATAATGGTTGGAAATGGAAAGTGCAAAAAGGTATGAGAATAAGATAGAAGGCACCAGTCGGTTGGTTGGTTGTGTTGGTAGGATTTTGAAGGTTACATAATTGAGAGAGGCTTCTTCGTGTATGAGCTGCTTACAAATATGTTTTTCTGACTCTCTCCCACCCAAAATATTTTAGAGGAAATCACCTAAGGAGCTATTTGCTATTGACGACATTGTCCAAATCTAATCTAAGGTTGCTTCTATTTCTATATCATAATTTCTTGTGTTAGTAAGTAGTAGTTTTTAATGATCTCAGTAGTATCAATAATTGACTCTTTCAATATCCAAACTGCTAAAAGTTGGACAATCAGTATTGGTCTAAACATGAAGTATGAACAAATATATTAGGCTAAACTTATTATTTTCATCATGTGTTTTCATCAATTAGTTAAAAGAATTTTTTTTTTTTTTTACCAATCGAATTAATGTGGCACTGCATGGTCAATTTTAGTCAATTAAGTACAATCTGTCAAACTTTATCTGAATGAATTGAGTAATTTTTTTTTTCACTATTTAAATCACCCCACCATTCTCACCCTCCTTATTGACTAATGTGTATATATATATATATATATATTTGGCATATTATGCTTAATTGGCTGTAATGGAAAATACAAAAGTTTAATTGACCAAATTGATAACAAATGAACTTTTTTGACGAATTGGCAAAAGTATCGAGCGCAAATAATGGAATTCGCCAAATATGAAATGCCCTAGTTAAATTCGTTGACATCATGGTGTTGCAATTAAAACCAAACAACTAGTACTTGAGTCACTGCTCACCTCAGGTGTGCTGGGACATGCTAACTTACAAGGTACTTGATGATAGCATCATTAAATTGGCAAAGAGTACTTGTTGATTCAAGACAGTGCAATATAGAGCAACATTAACTCTCACTAGCGACACTTTTGGATGTAAAATTCGGAAGCTAGCTTGCAGATGAGTTTCTTGTCCTCAAGAACCTCAACGTTAAAAGGAAATCTAGCAATTGCGACTTCTAAGGATAATTACTCAAGGCAAGCAGAGGCCTTTCAACAAGGTATGAAGAATCCCTTTTTGCAACCTACACAATATTGACTATAACAGAGATCATATTTCTGGGGGTTAAAAAAAAAAAAAGGTTAAAAACTTTCAATGGCTTTTTTGACACCATCTTGGATTTTACTTCCTTCAAGGAGTGACGGTGACAATGATTTTGCAGGTTGCAGATATCTGTTCTCCAGTTTTCCTAGTCAGCCACTTTCTCAGTTCTCTTAAAAATTGCATGAACATATGCGAAGGCAGGAGCATTCTGCAAAACCATATGAATGAACATTGATCCAACAATAAGTTCTGATCAGTTCTTCATCAAACCAACAAGTTAGGAAATAAATATATTTCTGTGAAATTTTATTAAATGAATTGGTCGGTAGAGTAACCAATGTCAAAAAGCATGAGAAATAAATATGAAGTTTCAATGGTACAAATCCAAAGTATCTACAAAAATCAATCTACAGAAAAAGGAATGTTAGTAATACTGTGGCAAATGTTGAACCCATCAAAGAGAGGGTGAGAGAGGAGGAAGACGAAGCTACTATCTGAATGATGAAATTGCAGCTCCCTTGGGATATGTTCTGGTCGGTAATCGTGGCCAGGCCTTCAAAATTACAGGCAAATTCATCCTGGTTTTGTACCTGGTAGTACATATTGAAAGCATACGAAGCATTCCCATTGGTGTCCAAGTTGTTACAAGAAGAGCCGTATCCAAGTGCCGTGCAGTCTGAACGCGAGCAAGCATAATCTATGTTATCTGCAAGCTTGCTAAGATCCTTGGCATTTGGATTAAACATGCACCATTTCGCCGGAAGATATTGCACATTCTGCGCACCCACTAGTAACTTGTTTTGACCCTGACCAGAAAGATCTAATGGAAATTTAGGCTGCCCATCATACCGAAAGATCCCCCAATGGCGCTCAAAATTTCCAGGATCGATGCTCTTGGCATCCTCATCAAGAAGACCGAACAAGTAAACTTCTATGTAGCCAGGCCGAAGTGGGGTGCCTCTGTTGCCTGCGAGTCGTGGTAAAAGCCCATTGTAAAATCTAATAGCATCACCTATGTTGGCATTCTTGTCTCCATCTGTGGGCCAACCTACCTCGCCTACTATAATGGGCATGTCCCCATGCCCCGCTGCTTTCAGGGCCGAAACCAAGGTGTCGAAGTTGGCATCAAAAACATTGGTGTACTGTATCCCAGTACCTCTATCTACAACAGGTTGAGGTGCCCCATCAAAGAAAGCATAATCAACGGGGAAATCATCATTTCCATAAAGACTTAGGAAAGGATAGATGTTCACAGTGAAAGGTGCTTTGTTCTGACTCAAAAACTGAACAATCTGGGTCATAATGTCATTGATATCACTGCGGAATCTTCCAGAAGATGGATAAGCTTGATCATCTGGTGAGTTGTAGACATCAGCATTTAAGGGTACAGTGGCCTTTATGGAGTCTCCAACCCCAGCATCATTAAGGGCATTTTGTATGTTCCGAAGTGCTGGGAAGGTGGTGTTTAGAAATGAACCATTGTAGGATTTGAGGAAAGGCTCATTACCAACTGCTACATACCTGTGAAGAGACAGTAAAAATATTAAGGAATGCAGAAATTAATTGAGTTTTTCTTCTCAACCAAATCTGACAAACAACATAGAACATATTTAAAACCAAATGATGAATATAAATCTTTCAATTTACATGCTTAGAAATGAAATAATTGGCGGCTTATTTGCATAAATTCCTTCATTAAACAGACAATATATTTAATGAAATAAATAGAATTGGAACACAATAAATATATGTATTATGGATGCCAAAGCACCGAAATCATTCAAAGAGCATCCTAAAGAAAAAAAAATGATTCCATTTTCTGTTTCTCAAAATTGATCACAAGAATTAATCCTTTTTTCTTTTCTATTTTCTATAACACTCCAATAAACTTTTGAAATATAAATATCTTTTACCAGTAATTAACCACCATTCCATCTCACTAGCCACATAATTGCTAAACCAATAAGCATTTGCCTAGTGCTTTTACCCCTGCAAAGCAAAGGGAGAAGGGGGTAGGTCTCTTATTCAAGTTCTGCACTTGCCACCTTAAGAGCCAATATAAAATTTTGAGTTACATATCATTATCGAAAACACCAAGTGTATCCGAAAAGATAGAAAATGTGCAGGTTGAATGATAAATAAGAATAACAACAAATTTAAGAGGCAAATGGTGGAACTCTACTACACACTCCTTTCAATTAATTCCCACATGTCATCGAGCACTAGATATGGAGAACCGTGTACACAAGTCTTGCAAAACATTTAATTCTTGTGTGCTACTTATATCCCATACCAATTGGCTTTCGGAGTGGGCAAGGTAGCCATCCTTTTCTCCTTTCCAATAGAAAGTTCTCTCAAAAGAGTATACCCACAGAGAATATGATTCTCCAATAGGTTTTTTAAAGCATATGGAAAGGAAATCAAAAGTTCATACAGATAAAAGCTGGAGTGCTTGGTAAGATTCCAAAGCCCAACCTCCCATTTTACTTTCCTAGAAATTCTCAGCATGTGCTATCGTATTATATAGAACAGATATAAAGTCATAACTCAAAGTAGAAAAAGATTAGCATTTAAATGACATGCCAAACATTTTGGCAAGCAAAACTCACATGCATTTCATTAATGCTACAAAGTTGTTAGCTTCTCCATTTAACAAATCCCAACTGCTATCTTATAGAAGATTCAACAACCAAGCCAAACGGTTTAACAATTCCTACCATCAAGCCATATTATATATTTAATAGATGAATCTTAATACATCAAGAATATTGGGGAAGCTTCTATATTCCTACGTATGTCATTGGATGGGCAACTCCCTGTAGATTGTGACAGAAGGTGCAACAATATTGTGTTTGTTTTGGAAATCTTGATAATTCTATTGCTTTTGGATGAAGTTATGGCAACTAATCATAACTCATACAGACCCTCATTTTTAAATTTGTTGGAACATAAATTTGAAATTAAGAAATCAATGTAAAGTCAATTCCTAGATAAACCCAACTTCTCAGATGCATTAATGATAACAGGTCATAATTACTGGTTTATGCAATTGCAAGAAAAGGCAAACAAATTTTACCAACAAAAACAAAAACCACAAACTCCTAGTTGATCATATAACAGAAAGAGTTTAGTCGAACAAAAGAAACTAGTAACATCCTAGACGTAAACTACTCCAAGACAATAACTTAAACCAAATAATTGAAATTTACACCGTTTTGATACATACAAGATGGAACAACTAGAACAGCATCCAGGCAATTGTCATAGTTTAATAACCACCACACAAATCATGCCAGCATATCTGCAAATCCTAGCTTGGATATGAATTAATTCCATCAATATTAGCTCCACCATTTATCTTGATGGTAGCAACAGAATACACAAATTACATCGTTAAAAATTCAAAATTAAAGCCAATCAATCAGAAATTCAAAGAGAGAGAGAGAAACTTCAAGCTTACTTGATGGTAACTCCTCCATTAAAGTTATAACGAGTGACATTCCTCTTGACCCAATCTTTAGCACGATTATAATCACCCATTACAGCAAGCTGATCATTAGGAATGGCAACCATAACTTCAATGCCAGAACCAGCAAGTGCAGTCATTGTATTTTGGTCCGCATCAAAAAGCTTCACTTTAAGGATCCCATTATCCTTCAACATTTGAACAACTGTTTTTGGTGGCAATTTACGTATAGCCATAGTTCCCCAGTTAACACCAAGGCCATGAACACAACTCCCTAAAAGGCCTAAAGCCAAGACCCATTTAAGGAACCAACAAGTACCCATTTTTCGTTTTGGTTCCTAAAAAGAATTTCAAAAGAAAAGGGAAGATAAACAACAAAAGTAAAGTCGAAGGGTTTTGTTTATTGTTGTAACTGAAAACTCAGTTTCTTTCCTTTTTTTTTTCACTAGAAAGAGAGGGAAAGCAACGGTTTTTGTCAGATGGGTACGCTAAAACAGCGAAAAATTAGCGATCTGATGGGCACGATTCTGAGATCGTGATTTATAAGAGCGAATGAGAGAAACAAGCAAAAATCTAATGAATATTTCAAAAACAGAAAAAGAAAATATAAATATGAATAAAAAACAAAAGTGTAAAAGAAATCGAATATAAATATGAATCAAAAGTGTAAGAGAAATACACTTTTTTATTTCTTTTTGGTGGTGAATATAGAGAATCAATAACCAAGAATCCAACACTCGTAGTAGAAGCTAAAGAAACAGAGCAAGTGGAGATGCCCAGAAAGACTGATACTTAGTTATGATTAACAAAAACTAAATGCTAAAGATAATGAAATGATTGGTTTTGGAAGATGGGTTTTGAATGACAAAAAAAAAATATCGGAAGTTACAAGTGTGGAAAGATCAAGATCAACGGATTTTGAGGGAAAAAAAGAACGGCAAGGAATGTACTATTAGGAAAGGAAACACACGAAAGATGCCAAAACCGTGTGTTGAAACGCGGTGTCTGTTAAAATAGGAGCGTTAAATCAAAACAAAATACTAGAGACAATAAAGAGAGGATTTTTGAAAACGAAAAAGGCGAAATCTCAGACGGGGAGAGAGAGCCAATAAGGAAATGACAGAAGCACCAAGGGAATTGGTGAAGAAACCAGATATACCTGATGCTTTTGTCTCGGTGTGGTATTATATCAAGGAATGGCTCCTAACGGCTAGATTTTTTGAGAAATCATTGAGAAGGGTTTAGCTGTTTTTGTGAAGGTTTTTAAACGTTGCTAGCTAGGTCATGCTGTGAGAATCAGAAAAAATGAAAGCATAGTTAAGGTATTAGTACTGACCAAGCGATGCTTAGATAAATGATTAAGAAGTTACAAATTTACAATGAAAGGAGAGATTATTACCCCATCTAAGATCATCCACCAAACAAATATAATTTTTTCAGAATTTAATAATAGGAGAATAGATATTTTGCCCGTACTACATTACGGGTTGGATAAAATATATAAAATCATTTATAAAAATCATTTTAGTTTGATAGTTTGTTTTATGATGTGAATTTATAAACATATATGAAATCAAAGATGAAAAAAATATTTATAATTTTTTAATAAAAATTTTGTATTTAACTATTTCTTATTTATGTTTTTCATAATTTTTCTTTACCAAAAAGATTTATGCTTGTTAATCCATAGATTATTAACTAAAAAAAATTAAATAAATTTTTTTAAAAAAGCTTTAACATTTCATAAGATTGTGTCAAAAAAATAAAATAAAAATTACTAAAAGCTTACATAAAATTGAACAAATATTTTTTATTTTTATTTCATGTTGATGAGAATATCGATTTTTGAAAAAAAATATGAATTTAATCTTTATATATTTATTTACAAAAGAATGAATAGTATTAAAATAAATCAAAACTATCAATAAAATATAGTTTTAAATTAATTGGATGAGAATTTAAAAGAAATGACAAATTAAAGTAGTAAATTTTAAAAAATAAAAATAATTAACAAAAAACACTAAAACAAAATGGGACCAAATCGCAATAAATTAAAGTTTGAAATTGAAAACAAATATATAGAAAATTTGGGGACCGTATAATTTTAAATTAGTTGGACGAGAATTTTTTTTAAAAAAAAATAATTAAAATTAAATAAATTTTTTTTTAATAAAGCTTTAGTATTTCATAAGATTGTGTCGGAAAAAAATATTAAAAGCTCACATCGAATTGAACAAATCATTTTTTTATTTTTATTTAATGTTATGAGAATATTGATTTTTGGAAAAAATATGAATTTCATTTTTATATATTTATTTACAAAAGAATGAATAATATTAAAATAAATCAAAACTATCATTAAATGTAATTTTAAATTAATTGGATGAGAATTTGAAAAAAATTTACAAATTAAAGTTGTAGATTTTAAATGTTAAAAATAATCAACAAAAAATGCTAAAAAAAAATGGAACTAAATCACAATACAATTAAAATTTGAAATTAAAAAAAAAAAAAAAAACAAATTGTGTAGAAAATTTGAGGACCATATACTTTTAAATTAATTGGTTGAGAATTTTTTTTAAAAATAACAAATTAAAGTTGTAAATTTTAAATTATAAAAATAATTAAAAAAATACTAAAACAAAATGGAACCAAATCACAATACAATCAAATTTTGAAATTAAAAAAAAATATAAAAAAAATGAGAACCAAAGTGTTAAAAAAAGCCATAAATAATGAAAAGAATAATGATTTGTGAGTGTGTAAATAGTGAAATATGAGTGTTTGGGATAGTAACCGGGTGTTTTGTTTTAGTTTGTTTTATAATGTCCCTCTACTTTATTTGTCGTTAATTTTTTTTTGTCTTAAATTTATTCCTTCACGTTTAGTCCGTGTCTTAATCTCTTATTTTTGTTAATTTTGAACCAATGATGTTAATTTTTTTCTATCTTAATCACGTACCTCTATTCTCTTTTTTTGTCTTATTTTTTTTTATCAAATTCAAATAAATAGTTTTTCAAAAATAAAAAAACTACAAAAAAATGAAGTTAAATCTTGTTATTTTCTTTGGAAATTGAAGATTAAAAAAATAGAAAAAGTGAAGATAAAATATTTTTTTATCTAAAATATCATTTATGAATTACAATTTGTCTCTATAACAATAAACAAATTTTAAGTATAAAATAAAATATTTTTAATTTTTTTAAATGTGTCTTAGTAAAATAAAAAAAATTTAAGTATAAAATAAAATATTTATGGCATTCTTTTTTTAAACATGAAGAGTGTTTTAGTTAAAATTTTTGAAATTAAGGAATTTGTAAAATCAAAATAAGTAAATCATAGTAAATTTTTTGAAGTATTATAAAATTATAAATATTATTCAAAAGTTTAAAATTTAGCAAAAACTCTCTTCATGTTTTTAAAAAATACTATAAATATTTAATTCTATACTTCAAGTTTATTTACTATTATAGTGATAAATTTAAACCCATAATATATATTTTGGATAAAAATATATTTTTTGCTTCATTTTTTATTTCATTTTTATAGAGAATGATTGGATATATCTTCATCTTTTCTATTTTTTTTATTTCCCAAATTCATTTATTTAAATTTAGTAAAAAAATAAAAAAGAGATTAAGACAGAAAAATAGAATAGATGGATGAGATTAAAATAAGAAAAAAAAAGTTAACTCTATTAGTCCAAAAATTAACATAAGGACAAGATTAAGACATAAACCAAGAGTAAAAAGATAAAGTTAAGTTGATAAAAAAAAAAAAAAAGTAGAGAGACAAGATAAAGACAAAAGTAATAATAGAGAAACTTCTGCAACCATTAATCCAATTTTTACATATCTTTTCGTGACAGATGAAAGATTGATTATTTGATTTTATAATTACAAATTTGTTGTTAAATGTGAAATGATGTGCCTTCTAAATGTGATTTATTAATAGATGGTTTTAACATATTTAATTATTTATAATAATTATATTGATTTGATCCATGATCTTAAATAGACCAAATCCGTTTAATAATTTCTCACAGAAAAAAGAAGGATTTAAAACAATGTGTTTTTTTTTTAAAGAAAAATACAAGAAGCGATAATATTCTATCACCTAGTAAAAAAAAGTATGTTTTAAAATTGTATATATTTAACATGGTTATGACAAAATTTCCCAAAATTAATTTTCAGGAGTTGTTTTGATAGTTAAGGAGATGGGCTCAGTTGAAAACTTGAGATTAACACTTAAAAAAATATTAAATTCTTCTAAATGCATTAAGTCGAAGTGAATGATGCATACTTAAAACCACATGGTGAGAAATTTAGTTTCAATTGGTACATAGAGTAGTCCTAAAATACTTTTATTGTCAAACAATTGAAAAAAAAAATCCTAAAACTAAAGAGTTGCATTTATATAGAGAATCAATTGGACTGAAAATTAAATCCTTCCAAGACTAACTAGGTGGCTTGAATTCACATGTTGTTTTAGTTCAACAAAATTGAAGATTTAATGGATTTTAACAATAGAATGAGAGGTTAAGTTCCTACGTTTTTAAAATTAAACTTGTTGCAATTGGAAATCTTAGTTAAGTCCTTCATTCCCAAACTGTCCTCTTGCTGAAGATATAATAAATTCTTGTAAAAGTGGTTAAGTATGCTTGTAAAAGTGGAGTACTTTCTTCCTTTCTGATTTGGAAAGCAATGCACTTAAAGATGCATATTTGAGATGATAAGATAACTCTGTTTTTTTTTTTTAATGGAATTTGTAAATGTTAATAAGGATTCTTAGCAGATTAGAATATATGGAAAAAATAAAATGGCAAGTTTATTATATAAATGTTATTTGAGGTTTGAAAGCTTAAAATTTTCATTTTATATCTTCGAATTTTTTACTTCCAAAACAACTTCTTTGACTTTATTAAACATTTTTTTCTCCTTTTTTGGAAAAAAATCTAAAAATAACAGAGAAAAATGATTAAATATAATTGTTGTGAAACTAAGAAATTTACTTTTAAACGGTGCGATTTAAATCAATTTAAAATAAATTTTATTATTATAAAAGTACAATCATCAACTGATAAACCAACGATATATTTAAAACAATTATTAGCAATACAATAATTCATAAATTGCTTTCCTTTGGATGTTAGGTTCCTTAGTTTTTAAGATTCTTTTTTTTTTGGTGGTTTTTCAAATTTCAAATTATTATTTTTTACAAGAAATGATAAATTTAATTTTTTATCCTAAGTTTTTTAAATACAAATGATGTCTGTATGTGACATTATTTTAATGCTTTAATTGAAGTTTGAAGATTTTTTCTC